CAGCCATAATGCTGATGTGGCCCGCGATTAAATTGAGTTTGACACCCCTGCTTTTGACCGTTCACAAAATATGTGCATGACAAGATTGTCATTTATTAATCATCAGTCATGTGGATACAATGACTAAGTGGGAAAAGACAAACAAATCAAGACCTAGATGAGTCATGTAAGTTTAGAAAGTTAGATCATTTCACTGTAATGCAGCTTTTAAACCAGGAAAAGACACTTACTGTAGAGACAATATTAAGTCTCATATCACCTATATAATAGATATATTGCCTAGCCCTACAAAAGTGTTTCCACCAATTCTACCTCACTCACAAAGTCCCTCTGTTAGAAAATGACTTTGGAGAACTGCATCTTGCCCACACAACCGAAAGGTTCAGGGGGACAGAAATGGGCCACATCTCTCCCAGGCTACACTGACTTCCTGTGCCCATATAAAGAGTCTAAAAAGCTCTTCTACCCCACCAGAAAACGAGGTGGAAACACTCCCTTAGAGCTCCCAACGTGAATGGCGAGACACTGAAGGGGTTCGGGTTTCTCCCTCGGAGGGTTGGCTTTGTTTTGAGGGAGTGAGGCCGTGTGGAGCATGTAAACACTGAACCCTTTCCTTCTTCTCTGTCCCACGAAGACTGGAAGAGCGTAAAACACAAATAAGCACATGCCTCTCCAGCCGACCCCCATGGCCAAATATAGTGTACTAAGTGTCCCGTGGAAAAATGCAATGCCACTGACTCCCACCATCAGTCCTCTTGATATGTTCAAATGTTAAGATAAGATAGGACTTTATTCATCCCGAAGGAAATGGTTGTGCCAAAGTTACAAGAATACAATAAACGCAGCAGCACAATAATAATACAACTGTACACCAACAGTGCAGTAAAAAGAGCAATTCAATAACTACAGGAGACATAGACGGTCACATAATTAACGTAAATATTAACAGTATTTAGTTATGTTATCCAACTTTATCTCTCAACAACATAATCCGACTGAATGGTCAAACTGCCTCTGACACTGGCAAAAATGGTTGTAAACACAGAGTAATAGTATGATATAAAAGGTGTAATTATAAGCAAAAGCCAATCACCCATGGAAAATAAAACAATGCGTTCGCAAGGGGCTCTGCAAATTTGACACAACATGGATGATAGCCCCTATAATTACAAAGCTTACTGCAGTAAACTTGCATCTTCCCATTTGGCTGATCACAGCAGATGGAAATGGGATATTAAAAACCGTGAACCAGGGTGTTTATTACTCTTCTAAACATCCCACATCATGACTGGATCTCCCAAGCAACAAAGCATGTACTGTAAGTGGAGCTTTAACCTAGAATTAACCAAAGCTTAACAGCGGGAGCGTTTAAATCCCCATACATACTGTAGGTCTATACTTTGCATTTCGAAACGCATTTCCAGAGTATGCTGGCATTGTGTATTCACAGTATGGTTAGTCAGAGAGTGCTGTGATCAAGTCTCTGAGGTTCACGTTCTGGTATTAGTAGAGCTAATCACAGAGGAATGTCTTTATGCAAACACTGAGCTTCCATATTACTATACATGAGGATCAGCCAAACAGTGAGCTCCACACTCTGGTGTCCTGCTTGTCTACACATGTCTGACACAAAGGGGCGTGGAAAGGGCCAATCTGTGCACCTAAAAGGTCTTTAAAACAGAGCCTCGCCCACAAAATATTTATCCCAAGTCCTAATATCTAAAAGAATCACTGGTGAGCAAAGGCTGACGAAGAAGTTAATAAATGTCTTGTGTGTCTGTTTATTATACTTTGTGACCTAATATTGCTCAATCCATGCGCTCTATAATGAATAACACATCTATTGAAGTAGAGGATTAACCTAGTTCTGCGACAATAGGAAAGTGTCAAAGCCAGTCTTTCTGTACACATGCTGAGAAGGTCAGTCTTTTTTTTTTTTACAAGTCTTTTTATTTCATTATAGTGTACAGTAATCGATGCCATTTCATTTATATTGTAATATCACAGTACACTCACTACACTCCCCCCTCCCTCCCTCCACCCACACATACCCGCACAGGCAAAACCAAAAAATGCTTATCAATATAACTTAAACAACAGAGCCATGAAAATAAACATAAAAAGGAAAAGGAAAAAATAGAACCAAAAAAAAGAGAAGGTCAGTCTGAGCACACACCAGGCGCGTCGAGCCCCGGATGTTTTTTCTTTAGCCCCAGACAATTCTCCCTCAATAATATAATACATTAACCGTGCTTTACCTGAAGCTCATCATGATACTAGAGAGGACGGCAGGATTGTAATTTCCCGTGTTCAGTGAATGCAACAGAGGCAAGACACCAGACCAACCAGAGAGTTGCATGGACTGGTACCTATCCTGTGACAATGTTTAAACTGTCAGTCGGACTCTGAGTTTTTGAAGATGGAGACGACAATTCTCAAGTGATGGCTCACACAACAACCCCAGAGCCACCACTTGAGCCAGGTAAACAAGGTATGTAAATGTCAGAAAACTTCCAAGTTATGCGAACATGTAAGCAAAGCATAAATTACAGCTACGTTGACGTTACTTTGAATCGCGCAGGTAAGCTAAACCGTTAGCAAGTAGCTATAGCTAGCCAGAGATATTAAATAAACACTTTGTCATACAATCTAAATGTTATGTTTTTTAGCGTTACCTAGTGATTTCAAAGAAAGCTCTCTGGAAAATGTTGACTTACTGTCAGTGTTCGACATGAAGCTACCTTACATTACACAGTCACAGGGGAGTGATTTGTAAAATATCCATAAAGAAAAAGAAAATCTGTTTACAGTTCTGTTTCATATGGGTGTTGAGAGATGTATCCATATCTCTTAATGTTGCTCTCAAAGTGCACCAGATTGATGCTTTTAACTTCAATATTTAAAAAAAAAATCTTTTTAGGAGGTGAGGACCCCCCTAGAGGAGGTTAGGTCCGCCCCCCACTTGTAAAAAATAGCACTTTACCCCTGCTTACACCTATATGCCGTGAGCTGATTATCGAGCCTCCATTGTAACAGTCGCGGGGGTACACTGTGTATGTGTGCGTGTGGGGAGTGTTGCAGTAGAAATGTCCACTGTAGCGCCCGGTACCTTAATGTACCTTAATGAACTGTGGGCTAACCCCCGAATGTTTCCAGGTCCAGGAAACGCCCCTGGCACACACTATGAAAAAAGAAGTGGAAGTGTTTTTTCTTTTAAATCTGATAAAAAAGTTAAACACATGAAGCATGCCCGAAAAGACTACTCAAGTTTAAATTCACATATGCACACGCCCTGCAAAAGCATTTATGATTAACTGTCACCCTGCCTGGTTTCATTTTGTGATTGCTCAAGAGCTGCTACTATTAGACGACAAACAGTTAGTCGATCGACATAAAAACTATTGGCCAACTCATTTCATTATCAATGTAGCCTTTTCTTTAAGATGCTTTTTACAGCCTCTCAGATATGGAGATTTTCAAAGCTTTCAGAAAGCTCCCTGCAGAAATCAGTGCACGATAATGGCTTTAAAAGTTTGTGTTGTGCTTTTAGATCATATCGAACAAACCAACCTTTGCTCACAACACTGTAAGCAGAAGCAGTTTCTCAACAACCATAAACTCTTCACTTCCTCTGAAATACTGCCAGCCTAATACCTTGTGGAGGACCAGAAAAATGGGCCACATCTGGTAAAAAAAAAAGTGTCACTCTTGTTTGGAGCAGCGCCCTGTTACACCCTCAATTGGCTTTCTCTATATTAACAGCTTAAATGGTGACAGGTTTACTCAAATATGCATCTTAACTAGTATTAGTAGGCTGCAAACCTGTACTGTGTCCATGCTCCTTTATGCAATGTTTGGTTTGCAACCCCTCAATGCAACCCCTCAATATTCCATGATGTTAGCACACATGGAATATTCTTTTAGAGCCGTTTAGTTTATACAGTAATACCCAGAGGCAATATCTGTGGCAGTGCAGAGGAGGTGTGTCCATTTCCTCTTTCAAGTAATATGAAACCTAAATGGTTAAACCTCCTAGGTGTTTAAAGGTTTGTGTAACAACTTGTGTGTGTTCATGCCAGGACATTCTGTTGAAAGGTTAACAGGAAATACAAGTGTTTGAATAATGAATGCAAGATTTGGTGCATACTTCCTTGAAATCTATGATAAAGCATAAATAACCACTCGCTTTGTTTAAGGCAAAGACATATGCTTCTACATCTTATCCACAAAAAGACATTCGCAACTAAACCTTGATGTATGAATGTAATAATGTATTGAAATGTGTGTGCATGGACTACATTTCACAGATCATAAAGCTGGGAGAAGTACTAAGATCTTGTACTCGAGTAAAAGTAGAAGTACCAGAGTGTGGGAATGATCTTTTACAAGTAAAAGTCCTGTATTCAAAATGTTACTTAAGTAAAAATAGAACAGTATTAGAATACAAATATACTTAAAGTACCAAAAGTAGAAGTACTCATTATGCAAATAGGCCCATTTCAGAATAATATATATGAAATGTTTTATAATGATTGATCATTGAAATGTTATCAAAGCTGGTAAAGGTGCAGCTAGTTTGAATGACTTTGTATACTGCAGGGTAGCTTGTGAATGTTACTATAGTATTATTTGCAAAGTAACTTAAAGTATCAAATACATGTAGTGGAGTAAAAGTACACGATTTACTTCTAATAGTGGGGTAGAAGAACACAGTAGCAAAACATTGAAATACTCAAGTAAAGTCTCTCAAAGTGTTACCTTATTACAGTACTTGAGTAAATGTTACTTAACACCATTGGGTGATAGTACAAAAGTTATCCAACTCTCCATTCAGTGGGTGTGGATGAAAAGTGGGTGGGGTGAGACAGACAACCAATCTTCTCCATTGCATGTCATTGCAGTGTGTAAGTGTTTAAAATAGGTGAAAACAACAGCTCATTAACCCCTCGTTTAAATGCTTTCTCTGTGTGAGTGTGTGTGACTTTATCAAACTCTCTTACCCTATAATCCCCTCCGAGTAGTTCCTGACTTTCCATGGCGTGCCAGAGTACCCATCACAGCCTCCTGTGTTGGATCCACTGTTCAAGAGGCTGGAATTGAACCCAAAAGTGCTAGCTTTGTTGTCTCTTTTCCTTTTGTTGGGGTGTCCGTTCCACAGCCCGGAGACCCCGCCGCCCTGCTGCCCCCCTCCGCCGCCGACACCGCCCTGCTGCCTGACACCGGCTCCTCGGTTGTTCTGGTTGCTATTATTAATGTCCAGTGGTATAAAGTCCCGCTGCGCCGTGAAGTCCCCTTTCCCCCTTGAGGATGACATCCCCGGAGTCCTGTTTGAGTCACTCAGTGCCCCGTTTCTGGCTCCACACGCCCCGTTGACAAGCGCTTGCAGGCGGCTCGACGTGCTCTGAGATCCGGCGCTGTTATTCACATGCAAGTAGCCGAGCCCTTGTGTCGTCTCCCAAATCTGCATCCACAGGTTGTTGGCTGGTCCACGTTGTTCCGGTTGAAACCAGGCGATCCTCGGATCCATCAAACGTTGTGACACAGTAGTAGGCGAGTCGCCCTCCCCCCCGCACACCCCTTACCCCTCAGCGTGTGCAGCTAGCCAGGTCGCTAGCTAACCGTTAGCCACCTAGCCTGCTAGCTCAGGTTCTCAGCCGCCCGTTACTTCTAGAATCCGGTGAGAAAAAAAACAAAACACGCTCCGTAGTGGTGACGATACGCGGTTGACAACCTAGAGAATCCACAGGACTAAATGTTGTGAGTCAAGTGGTAAAAATGCAGGTTAATGGAGAAGTGTGAGAGTGTAGAAACGTGCAGCTGCTGCCTGTCGAAGAAGTGGCTCTCTGACCCTTTCCCTAACTCAATGGCGAAGTGTAGGGGGAAGCTGCGCATGCGCGGGTGAGTGGAAGAAAAGGGGGCGGGGACAGAGTTGTTACGCAACAGACAACTGTGTTTTTTTTTGTTACATAACGACGTGAGATGTATTATTCTGTCATCACGGGGGGAATGGACAAGGTGTGAAGAAAGAGTACTGATGTATTATTCTGTCAAAAACATGTTTTATTTTGAACTTACTCTTACTCAAGAGGGACTGAGGGAGGAGTTGGCCTTCAACTCCTCCCTCAGTCTGTCAGCCACTCTGAGTCAATGGACTGGTATTTTAACTTTGAATTATGTTCATGTACATATTTTATAGTATTTTTATTGTGCACATACTTACTTTTATGTTTGAAAAATATTTTACTCCATTTTCTGAATCTTAAAATAAAGTATTTCTGATTCTGATTGAACCGGGGTTATTGTTAACATACAGTAATGGCAAAAGTGGCCTGATGTTTTACTTAATTAAAAATATCTATACTATATATATGGGACAATCTATTACTATACAAGCACATGGTAACCAAGTAAAATCCCAAAGCATCAAAATATACTTACATTGCCTATTTAATCATCATTTTGATTGGATTATTAGTGGATTTATGTGCACCACTTAAATGTTGAGATATTGTTGTATTACTTTATAAAATGCAAGGTATCTTAACCTTAAATAATTTATCACAATTTATTAATTTATTTAGATTTGTTTCTATATAATCTGAATTTGAAAAGTAATGAAAACTGTCAGATTAATGTAGTTGAGTAAAAAGTATATTATCAGGGTTACAGAAATCCCAGACAATAAGAGTGTGGAGATTGTTATTATTCAAATAATAAAAAGAAAACACATTAGACAATGCTTAAGAAATCAGGATTTATTTCAAAAAGGCATTCAATCCCATCCCAAAGACATAAACCCCCACCCCTACATTTTTTTTGAAATGTATTTTTATATTAATGATAGGCATTTTTATCAACATGTCCCTGAAAACGTGTGGGAACCCAGAGAAGCTGTGCCCGACTCTTACAACGCAAGAACTATCACACACTTAATGTTGATCTTTAGGAAAATTGTATTTATGGTTTAAAGTCACCATTCAATTTGAGCATTGAATGGATTAATTAATGAGAGCTTATGTTAACTTTGTCAGAAACTCAATGCAGGATACACTTTGGATCAGGTGCAAAAAGATGGTACTACTACCCTCTATTTTAGATATTTCAAACCTGCAAAAAATAATAATATGTGTGGCGCAGTGGCTTGTGCGTTGGTGTTCGGATCAGGGGAGCACAGATTCAAACCCCACTGCAGTCAGCATGTTGTTGTGTCCCTGGGCAAGACACTTCACCCCAAATTGCTCCTGTGGGGATTGCCCACAGTACTGAGCATGTAAGTCGCTTTGGATAAAAGCGTGCAAGTGACATGTAATGTAATGTAATGCACAATTATCAAACTGTATTCTAAGTTGTAGCAGCAAGTTTGGATGATCATTGATTTCATTCATAATTGATATTCACATAGTTACTGAAAAAATGCTTTCAGCAGAAAATGGGTTTCTGTGGTGACTTGCAAACTGAAACGTTTCACAAAAATACAGTCACAAATTCAGCTCTCCGTGAAAACAGGGGGCCTGGATTGTGAGAAAATGTGTTCCTCCTAAAGGTAAAAATGTAAAAATGTTATGTTAACACCTTGGCAGTGAGAATAGGTAGCTTCGTACGGTATTAAAATGACAGTCGTTTTTTATTTCTCTCTTCAAATGCAAGCCAATTTCTTTCCAAAGATAATTATGTTTATACTAAACAATAAAACAAAATATTCTCTTTTTTATTAGGTGGCAATTATCCCATACTGATACATCTTATGTAGCATAGCTCTGCAAACATCAATGTTTAGGCTATTGGAACAAGTGGCAGAATTAAGGGCACCCAAATCAAAAACCTGGTGGTGTAGACTTACTTAGGGAAATTAAAGTAAACAAATCCAAGTCTGACAAACATTTGGTCCTGATTGTCACATTTAAACCAAGGGAGGAAACGTAAAAACCTTTCTTTACTGCCACTTGCAGTAACTAATAATAACATAATCCTGTCTTTCTTCACAACAAATACAGGTAAAATAGTAAATCATTATTATTTTGAGAATATTAACACTGAAACAGGCGGCTTACTACCAACATAATAAATATTTGATGATTTCACAACCACAGTCTGATTCTTTTGATGCTACCGTTAGCATCTCTGTCCACACCATCGTGAGGTCCAGCGCTCGTTACTTCTTCACCACTTTCTCCAGGTAACCGATGAATCTCTTCAGGTTCACTTTGATGTTGTCCAGTACACACAGCTGCTGCGGGCTGTACTTGCCTCTTCCCTCTTTACGAATCTAGAAGGAATATAAAATAAACATTATGTCACATCATATAGGAACACATTTTTCTCATTTTGTTTATTTAAAAAAAACAGTTTAGGTGTTATGGTTAATTCAAATCAGTTGTAAAGAATGTGTGAGCAATACAAGAGGCAGAACAAATTGTTAACTAGTGTCCTACTAGTGTAAAAGTCCTCAAAGGGCAAATGGAAATTGTGAATAATTAGTAATATACAGTTCTTACTCTTAAGAAAATGTAGTACAACCATAGTCAAGAAATACTCTGTTCAAAATGTTACTTAAGTAAAAGAACAAGAGCAAAATGTACTTAAAATATCCAAATCAAAAGTCATCCTTTTGCAAAAAAAAAATTGGTGTTTTAGTTATTATAGAATATTATTCAGTTTTCACCAACAAACACATACAGACACAGAGTTTACTATACACTGAGTAAGTGCATTGAACAAATCAATGACTGGATGTGTCAGAACTTTCTCCAACTAAACAAAGACAAAACTGAGGTAATGGTTTTTGGAGCCAAGGCAGAACGTATAAAAGTTAGCGCTGAGCTCCAGTCTGCAATGTTCAAAACAACAGATAAAGCCAGAAATCTAGGTGTAGTCATGGACTCTGAGCTGAGTTTCAACAGTCACATTAAAACAGTTACTAAATCAGCCTACTATCACCTAAAGAATATATCTAGGATGAAAAGACTAATGACACAGCAGGATTTGGAAAAACTTGTCCATGCTTTTATCTTCAGTAGACTGGACTACTGTAATGGTGTCTTTACAGGTCTCACTAAAAAATCTATTAGAAAGCTGCAGCTGATTCAGAACGCCGCTGCTCGAGTCCTCACTAACACTAAGAAAGTGGATCACATCACTCCTGTTCTGAAGTCCTTACACTGGCTTCCTGTGTGTCAAAGAATAGATTTCAAAATACTGCTGCTGGTTTATAAAGCTTTGAATGGTTTAGGCCCAAAATACATGTCTGACCTACTGCTAAATTATGAACCATCCAGAACTCTCAGGTCTTCAGGGACTGGTCAGCTTTCTGTCCCCAGAGTCAGAACTAAACATGGAGAAGCAGCGTTCAGTTATTATGCTCCAAATATCTGGAACAAACTCCCAGAAACCTGCAGGTCCGCTGCAACTCTGACTACTTTTAAATCCAGGCTGAAGACTTTTCTTTTTGCCGCTGCTTTTAATTGATATATTCATATCTTAAACTGCACTGTAACTTTTATTATCTTTGCTTTTTATCTTTGCTTTTAAATTAGTGTTTTTAAATGTCATTTTATATTATGTTTCTTAATGCTCTTAATGTCTTTCATTTTTGTAAAGCACTTGTGTTGAAATGTGCAATATAAATAAACTTGCCTTGCCTTGCCTTATAGTATGTGTCAATATGGAGAAATGTTGGATACTTTGTATAATACCGAGTAGATTAGTTGTGTATATCTTAATATGAATCATGTTATTAATATAATAAGTTGTAACTACAAGCATTAAGTTATCATACTGGAGTAAACAATTCAAAATGTTCCTGTGAGATGTACTAGAGTACAAGTTCAAAAATGGCATTAAATGGAGTAAAGTTTAAGTACAGTACTCTTGTACAGGGTTTCCCAAAGTGGGGGTCGCGAGATCATTCCAAAATAAAAATGAATAACGTGTGCATAGACATTTTTCAGGGGCGGACTGGCCATCTGTAGAATGTCCCCGCAGCGAGGCTCAAGGTTGACAATTCACTAGCACATCCCACCCCCCCCAGTGCCAGTCTCTGTTATTTTGGGGGTCACAAGCTGAAAGGTTTGGGAACCCCTGCTCTAGATGATGTACTTAGTTACTGTCCACTCCTGGTAAGACGTCTCTGGTACCTTGGCTTTAAAGATGGGTTGCAGAGCCTTCAGTGCGGGGAGTAACGCAATGTTTTTGGCAGCCGTCTCCGCCTCGTCTCCGTCCGCGAAGACATCGAACAAAGCGTCCAGAGCTTCTCCGTTCACAACCAGGTCGGTGTCCTTCGTGGAGACTTGAAGTAACGCGTTTCCAATCATCTGTGGGAGAACAGATTATTAAAGCCCTGACAGAAGCAAGATAAACAAGCAAGGACTCAAATCAAGAGTCTCTTATTATTTATCTTCATCTCATACTAATATTTCCAGACTGATATGGCCGTCTTTAAAGAAAGTGTATGTGGCGAGTAGGTGTGGTGAGAGAAATGTTGGAAATCATTGACTTTGAGACCAGGTTTTAGGACTCTGATAAATATACAACTAATCTACTAAATATTACACAAAGTATCCACAATGTTCTCCATATTGACACATGCTACAACTATAGAAAACTATGTCTGTATGTGTTGGTCAAAACAGAATTATATTCTATAATAAATAAAACACTCTTGCAAAATGAGGATGCTTGATTTGGATACTAAAAGTACATTTTGATCCTGATCTTTTACTTAAGTAATATCTTGAATGGAGTATTTCTTGACTGTGCTTCTACTACCTCTTCTTAAGAGTAAGCACTGTATAATATTTTAAAGAAAGTGTATGTGGCTGGCGAGTAGGTGTGGTGTGAGAAATGTTGGGAAACCATTGACTTTGAAACGAGTGGTATAATGCCAAGAAATGTCCAGGTTTTAGGACTCTTGGACTACTCAATAGTCCTTTGTTTCCCGATTAACGTTTTGAATATTGAAAACAGTCCCCGCCCCTTGCTAGTATGAAGAGTTATTTCCTCTCACGCAGGAGCAGAACACATGTGATAGGTTGGATGTAGTTGATAGTCTTTGCCTTGTGTTCAAATGAGACGTTTTGGCCAAATTAAGACATCGGGAAGAGACATTTTTCTCTGATTACAGGGTTTGGTGTGTCAGGGCGTGTAAAGGAAGGACAAGGTTTTATTTTCTGACACTTTGTGAGTTCCCTGACTCACCGGGGACACATATTTATGTATAAAAGTGCATTTTGCATGATAGGACACCTTTAAAGCAATTATTTTGTTACGTTATTTGAAATCGAGGCCAAAATCCTTGTTTTTCCAGATGTCAAACAATGTTTTATTATTACACTTTTGCATCAATTCATGTATTTCCAATGTTCATTTTTAAGTAAGGCCATATTCTCTTTGTGCATTTGCTTTGTCTTAAAAGTCACCTATTATGCAAGATCCACTTTTTCTGTCTTTTATACATAAATATGTGTCCCCTCTGTCTTAAAGATCTCCTATCATGCTATTTTTAGGCATATATTATGGGTCTCAGATATATAAAAAACACGTCTATGATGTGTTTTGCTCAAAATACCAAACGGATCATGCATTTTAGACATCCCTCATATCCCTCTATTTCAGCCCTGTTAGAGAATGGTTCACGCAGGAGCAGAACGTATGTGATAGGTTGGATGTAGTTGATAGTCTTTACGTTGTGTTGAAATTAGACTTTTTGGCCAAGATTAAGACAAACATCGGGAGGAGACACTTCTCTGATTTCAGGGTTTGGTGAGTCAGGGCGTGTAAGGGAAGGACAGATATTGCAGGAGGAGTTTCATACCTGAAGCGTCTCCGCAGTGCCCTTCTCTTTGGCTAACGTGCTGCCGGTGATGCCCAGAATAGCGACAGCGTTCACCCTCACACTGACGACATCGCAGCGGGTGGCGGCTTCACTCAGGCTCATCAGCTGCTGGGGGGTCATACACTGAGAAAACAAAAAACATATCAGTCAATAGTGGTTAGTGAGAACTGGCAGTGGATTTGATATAATATACAAAGTCTTAAGAATACAAAGAATAACTATTTAAAATGCAGAGGTGGGAAATAGTGGAGTACAAATACTTAGTTACTGTACTTAAGTACATTTTTCTGGTATCAGTACTTTACTAAACTACTTATTTTTCTGACGACTTTTTACTTTTACTTCTTACATTTTTAACACAAATACCTGTACTTTCTACTTCTTACATTTTCCAAACAGGCTGGTTACTTTAGTTTTAATCTGCGTTTGGTGGCGTGAGACCCTGTTTACACGGAAACGAAAACGAACAGAATTCGATATCAAAAAAGTCTTCCGTCCACACGCAATCGGCTCAATAAACGTGTCCATCCGACCGCTGGACCCGCTGGACCCGCTGTAGTACATATGCCGAGCCTGTAAGTGGCGCTGTACTTCCGCCACAAAATACACCAAAAGCAGCGAAGAAGACCTCCCGAGCATGGTTGCCTGGTTGCCCTTCTGTTTATTCTCCGTGGTTTATTTAGAGTCATTGCGTGCCTATTGATTTGAACACGATCCGTGTATCCATCATTTCCTGGTCTTCTCTAAAGAAGAGGGACCAATGAAAACGTTGTCTTGTTGCCGTTGTTCAGCATGGAAACATTCATTAGCTAACAATGACATTATTGTTCTATTAATATAAACGGAGGTCAGGTACTCTTTAAAACAGCTGCTAGTTATGGGTACTTTTTACTTAGGTACGTCTCGAAGCCCATACTTCTTTACTTTAAAGAAGTTTAGTCAGTACTTCTACTTTTACCAGAGTATTTTTAAACACGAGTATCTGTACTTTTAGCTTGTGGTGTGTTCTGTACCTGGGTGATATTTTTAGAGGCGATCATCTGTAGAAGAGACCTCATGGCGCTGATGACGGCCTCCAGGAACTCCTCATCTTTGGGGATCTCTGAAACGCAAGAGTGAAAATTGTACTAAGTAAACAGATGCAATAAAAACCTACATTTTACATCACTATACTGCTTCCACTGATCATTTTAGGAAAACACATCATTGGTCTACTTTATGTGGATTTCATCCCAATTTTGTTTCCAAAAGGTTTTCGTTACAGCAGCATGTTAAAACAAAGGCATTGCACATCATTTGAAATAATAGAGTAGAAAGTCAAAATAGAAAATATAACAGAACTAAAAAGTAAAGTATATACAAGTTGACCGTGAAAGATGATCCTATTAAAAGTGCATGTACTGAGAGGATTCTTGCTGTTTAGAGTGTTTCCTCATCGTGGATGCCCCTTACTTTAAGTCGCTTTAGATAAACGTCAGCTAACGGAAATGTAATGTAATGTGTGCGAACCTGCTGCTCCGAACACATCGGTTTGCTATCCTGGCTCCTAAATGGTGGAACAAGCTCATCTTTGATATCAGGACAGCAGAAAGTCTACACATCTCCTGTCTATGAATAAAAACCAACCTGTTTCGACTGCACCGTGGCCAATAATAATACATAAAAAACCTGTTGATATTCAGCGGTTGAACAAGTTTATCTTATTAAAAGCTAATGTACTGTGAGGATTCTTGCTGTTTTGAGTGCGTTTCCTCATCGTGGATGCCCCTTACTGTAAAGGCCCTGACACACCAAACTGACACCAAAGAACACGTCCCGACAGACCCGATTGTTGTGTTGCCTCACGTCAGACTTGGCCAAAAAGTCGCACTGGAACACACCGCAAAGACTTCAGCCCACGGCCAAGTAGCACGTACGCACTGCGCATGCGTGAGTGGCAATAACTCTCCTTACCAGCAGGCGGCGGTAGTGTGTATTCTTAATTCAAAAGAGGCAACAACCGGAAGACAGACTGCGTGATATATACAAACAACAAATAGCGTGCGTTCCATGTTCACTCTCGTCCATCACAGACTGTTTCACATAACGACTTATAATCGAAAACATGTTTAGTGCGGTACTGGAAAATGAAAAATAATAGCCGTCTGTGTGTGCCTTCTTCACTTCCGTTTCGCTTCTCATGCACTGATTCGCTAAGCTGAACAGCCAATCAGAGTGATTTATTTTGCCGACAGCCTCCCGATTCAACATGCGGAAGGTGTCGGCACGGCCGAAAAGACATGACGGTGTGGGACACACCAATCTGAGTAGGGCGACAGGACGCTCATCGACGGCCAGACATCGATGGCCGAAATCGGCTCGGTGTGTCAGGGCCTAAAGTCGCTTTAGATAACTCGTCAGCTAAAGAAAATGTACTGAGTGCGAACCTGCTGCTCCGAACACCAGCGTGGAGAGGTGCTGCGCGGCCGCCTGCAGAGCAGCTGCTCCGCCCAGAGAGTCTGCGTCCATGGTGGAGACGAGGCTGTGGAGGCAGGTCAGAGCGCGGGACTGAACGCGCTGCATCCTGAAAGGGGGGGGGGAAGATGGCTGAGGTTAGGGCTGGGCAATATAATAATAATAATACATTTTAGTTATAGAGCACTTTTCATGGTACTCAAAGACACTTTAAATGTTAAAATACATAAAAACTACATTTAAAACAACACATTAAAAAAGCAACATTAAAAGGTAGGGTAGGTAATTTTGGAGAAACCGGCTCGAGATCGCTAGAATTTGAAACTACACAACCGGAAAAAATCTGCCCCTTCCTTACAGAGCCCCTCCTCCAACACACATGAACGCGCACATGACCAATGAGGGCACGAGACAAGTTTGTGCACAGGTGGAAGGCTGACAGGCAGGTAGGCCATCCAGTTATTTTAGCCGGGCCGGCTCAGATGATTGGTCGTGCTTTTTACAGCGCCACGGCTTCCACAGATGAAATATTTTAATGTATTTATTGTATTTTTTTAATTTTATTTAATGTATTCATTGCTATCGGGATGTTAAGAGCATTCCATGGAATATAACAAAAAGTGTTTCTGAAGTGAATTAGCTACCCCACCTTTAAGTACAGATTCAAGCAGTTCTGAAAAGGTGAGTTTTGATTTGTGATATGAGGGTTTAAAACATCTAAACGATATATAGAAATGTTTACTGGACATATTTTTCTACATTTATTGTGTTGCGGTATCAGCTACGTCTAGATGTTTTTTTACTTGAATCTGTTATGTTCATTTTGCATTAAAGTTGTTAGAATTAATGAATTCAATCAAAATGGTGTTTTACAGCACCATTAAAAGGCCTCTGTTTACCGCTGATTATCCAGAGGAAACGATGGCTGATGTTAAGGCATATATACAAATGTTTACTGGACATATCTTTCTACATTATCAGCTACGTTTAGATGTTTCATTTTTATTTATTTGAATTGGTTATGTTTATTTTGCACTCAAGTTCTTAGAATGAATCCATCAATTAAAATTGGGTGAATTACGAAACATTTCACTTGCACTGCACCATCTTGGTTTTCTAAGCAGTATACGCAAACAATCATTATAAGCAACCTGGAGCTTCTGGAGGCTCGCCTTCTTAAAAACTTGACCCACAATCACATGAATCTTCTGCCCCGGACACACAAGCACGCGGTTTGATTGGCTAGCGCTTGTACTGGGATATGATTTGATTGGCTGACGCTTCCGTCGAAGCTTGAAAAGTTGACATTTTCTCAACTTTCGAAGCGAGCAACGGAGGCAAAGCGGCGCGACGTAACCACAATGCAGTTTGGCAAAGCGTGACGTCACCCCATTCAAAGTGAATAGGAAGCGTCTCCGTTGAAGCATGCAACGCTGCCGTGTGGATGTACCGTTAAGAGCCTTATCCAAACACCAAGAGAACTTTCTAGCCAACATGTTAGCTTGTGTATATAAGACACGCTGCTGACGTGACGTCATCATCAGCCATTTCATCTGTAATGATGTGTCCCAGATACTTAGTTTTGCAGCAAACAGACAGCACCTGCCCTGACAGATAAAATATTGGAAAACCAAGGTTCTTATCCCCTTTTGCTCTGCAGATCATTACAGCGCTCTTCTTAGCATTGTATTTAACATCAAATTTGACACCATAATCAGAACATATATTTAGCAGCTGTTGAAATCCAGCACTGCTAGGAGAAACAATAGCCAGATCGTCGGCATACATAAGATGGTTTACAATCACATTACCGATCACACATCCTGTTTTACAGACACTTAAATCATCCGATAGATCATTCATAAAGATATTAAATAGGCATGTTGAGAGGAGCCCCCCCTGGCGAACTCCATTACTAACACCAAATGGCGCCGAGACTGCATTCCCCCATTTTATCCGCATGCTCTGGTTGGCATAGCAATAAGCCAGGATCCTAATTATACTGTTGGGCACACCCCTTTGTCTCAATTTTAAAAACTGTTTATGATGGTTAACTCGGTCAAAAGCCTTTTAGAGGCATCGATAAAACCAATCAGAACAGTGGAATTCTGTCTTCTATGTTTCTACCATTTCCTTCAGAGCATAGATGCATAGCTCAGTACCACGCCTTGAAGCCAAACTGGTTATCTGAGGTACATAAATAAGAACATAATCTGTCTAACAAAATTCTTTCCAGGACTTTGGATAACACACTGGCTAGAGCAATTGGTCTATAATTATCCAAGCTCCCTACCTTGCCCGCTTTGTCCTTAAAGGTCCCATGTCATGCTTTTCCGGTTATTACCCGTCCCCTTGTGTGTTAAGTAGCTTTTTCTGCAACCCTCAAAGTACACCCTGTAGTGAGTAAAACTCAAACACAGAAAAGACCTGTCTATACTGCCCCAGAACGCCTCGTTGCAGATTTGTATTTGTCTTCCTGGGTACAGTGACGTATTGGGTATAGTGACGTTACGTTTGGACCAATCCGCGGACATCCTCACACACACACACACAATCTTTTCTCAGCTGCAGCTCCGCGGATTTCTCAGCCTGAGACGGCGGGACGCGGGGAGGCTGCGTGTGCGTGTGCGTGTGTGTGTGTGTGTGTGTGTGTGTGTGTGTGTGTGTGTGTGTGTGTGTGTGCTCGGGCTGGGTTCGGGCTGGGTTTCACTGTGTCTCGCAGACCCCACGCAGCAGCCAGGAAACAACACCAGTAATCCAGCTCACACTGTCCGCTCCTCGCAGCAGCGAGCCCCGCAACGTCCCGCCAACACGGCACCCAGACCCCACGGAGCATTCTCATCTGTTTGTCATTACTGGTGTCATTTTCTGGTTGCTAACAAACGCCATTGTAACACATAAACACACATCAGAGTACAGTGGGCTCATAGGGTATATACACATACTATACAGAGATGCTGTATGAGAAACCAATGTGAGTTTGGAAAATGTAACAATGTAAATCTATTCTAGTAGACCTCAACAATGGAATTATGATCAGTAGAAATGGCCATGACATGGGACCTTTAAAGACAGGCACCAAAGTAACAGTCAACATGGAGTCATGAGGCCGGTAAAACAAATGGCAAGAAGAACTGCAACCTTCGAGCTTGCCAGTTTATATTGTGATATCATTCGTTATCAAGATATGAAATGATCTACTTTGTAAAAGAGGATGTTTGAAATATTGAGCTAACTGTTGTCATAGTTGAGTGATAAGTAACTAATTTACGCTCCCAAAAGTCTCTTTGAAAGGTATTTAAATCACATCAATGGGTTTTAAAGAGCAATTATTTGGTTACGTTTATTTTAAAATCAAGGCTAAAATCCTTGATTTTCCGGATGTCATCTAAGAATGTTTTATTACTACACTTTTGCAATAATTTATGTATTTCCAATGTTCATTTTGTATTATATCTAACCCTTTTTTTCTTCGTTCATCTGTTTTGTGTTAATGCTTATCCAGAGCACTTTGAATAGCCTTAATATCTGAAATGTGATATATAAATGAACTATACTTAACCTTATGCAAACTATTTATCCATTGAACTAAAAAACATGTTTTTATACCATGGTATATTTCGTTACCAAGTTTTTGAATTTACCTGTTGATATTGACCTAACTGTGGTTCAGTGATAACCTTTAATTCAAGAGCCACAAATCCCTTACACTTCCAACAAGTACCAGATTAAAAAGGCATAAAATATCCAACTCAGAAACCTTAAACCTTGTTTTAAAGTTAAAAAGAATTATGAGAAGTGAGAGGATTACTTTTTGATCATGCCTTCCCAGGAGGAGTTCTGACGGCAAACATCAACGGCTTCCTTTCTAGGGATCTCCGTCTTTTTGAGGACCTTGAAAGGGGAAGAAAAGATATTACATCATAATACAATTTAGTGCGGTTTCATAATAAAAAATCTCTTTAATTGCACAGTTAAGTAATTCGACCCGTCGAGAAGTGTTCGCTGCACATTAAAACCATATTTTGAGGTTTTTAAATGACAGTATGATTACATTCACATGCTTATCTGATCATTTTGTGACTCTTTTTTTCTCTGAGAGCTATTAGCTAATGAAGGTGTGTGTCAGGGCCTGTGTGTACATTAGGGCCTGTGTGTACATTAGGGCCTGTGTGTACATTAGGGCCTGTGTGTACATTAGGGCTGTCCCGAATACCATTTTTCGGGCTCCGGATATTCGGTAGTAATCAGCAGCGAACCGCTTCAACACGTGTATTTCGGTGTATTCAAGGCATTCATTTTGTTATTCTACAGTATTGTTGTTTTATAGTTATTTGTTAATGTATAGAACCCAATTTGTGTTCTTTGAAATTGAAAAGGATATTGCATTGTGTTTGTTACTTTCGTTGCAGTTGTATATGTCTTAAGTGTAATTTGGCTTGGCTTACTATTTATGGACATGCTTTTATTTTGAAGGAGAGTTAGCGCTGTTGACAGGAAGTTGCTGTTGCTATGGAAACAACGTGACGGAGATTAACGGAGAAAAAGTCATATCTACATATAAAGACGGAGAAAGTAAACGATAACGTTTATGGTTAAGTGTTAGCACCCCCCGAAGAGTCACAAGCTCTTACGTTGATATTGGAGTTTTCAATAAATAAAATTTGAAAGGAAAAAAACCAAAAAACAAACAAAACGAATATCCGAATAACGAAATTGAAACCCGAATAGTACTCCAACGAACGAATATTCGGTACAGCCCTAGTGTACATAGCTACCTTTTCTGAGCCAAATAGTCTTTTATAAAGTGTTCCCAGAAAGGAGAGAGTATGTTTTCACGAGGCCTTTTTGTTGATTTGTGCCAAGCTCTTCCTAGTTGAAAATATCTAAACTTTTCAGAAGAGCAACGGTCAAATGGCTTTAGAAAATGGAGGAGGATCTAGTTCTGGACGTGTTTTCTATCCTGATTTTAATGTCAGAGAGAAACTATCCTCACAAAGACTTAAAAGTGCATTTGTTGGAGCAGATCGACAAATATTGTGCTTGGTTCCAATACTGAAAAACATAGTGAGTAAATATATAAAAAAGGAGGTTTTGTACTCAAAGAAACTTCAAATCTTCAAACTTGGAGCGTTATTTCTGCTAAAAACAGACGGCATTTGGAAACAGTTTACAGACGCGTTTTCTATCCTGATTTTAATGTCAGAGAGAAACTATCATCACAAAGACTGATAAGTGCATTTGTTGGAGCAGATCGACAGATATTGTACATTTATCTCCGTACGTGGATCATTCTACTCGCTCTACAGCTGTCTGATTGAGCGGTGAAGCTCATTCATACAAAGTGTGAGAGCAGACGTCTTCAGCTTGGTATCAATACTGAAAAAACATAGTAGCAAAATAGATACTCTAACAGCGATATTTGACTCAAAGAAACTTCAAACTGGGAGCGTTTTTTCCTGCTAAAAACAGACGCAATTTGGACACAAGCCCTAATTGATCAAATATATAAATGTATTTGCCTTTTCTGGGATGTTGTGGTTGATCAAAGCGCCGTGAATCTCCGCTGATAAACACAGAGGAGACATGAGATTGGAGACTCCGTCACACAGACCGTCCGGACCCAGGTCGCTCTCATCGCTGCTCGACTCCTCCTCCCACTCATCGTCTGAGGGGTCTGAAGAGAAAGGCAACCATAGAATTGATATATGAAACAAAAAGGCACATATAGGCACTTCATTGGGGTTGGCCTAATGACCTCTGAAGATAAAAACATACAAGTGCAACGAATTGCAAAAAACAAATGGCACTTTTAGACACTCAATAGGGCAATATGGTCTTCAGTATCATTCATTATTATGCAGTAAATACTTTTATAATATCACAAAATCTATATATTTACATGTTTTCATTATAATGTTGTATATGTTTTATTGAAGAACACCATACAATAATAACATTTAATCTCCACCTTTTTCTCGACATCCCTAAGACCTAAACACCTGCCATCCCCACCTTAAAAATACATAAAGGTGCAAGTTTTATTTTTTGTATTCCATTCTATTTCTATGGATATACTGCTATATTTTTTATTATTTCTAATATTATTTTATGTTATTACATGGCTTAGTTGAATACTCGATTCTGATTAATCAATTCAGAACACGTGACACGTTGTTAATCCAGAACAGACAGACCGCTGTCAAGGACTTATTGACCGTTGTTAAGGACACTCACATCTGCACAAAGAAGTCCGGTCGATTGAACTGTATACAGTTTGGCCGAAAAGCAAAATATTCAGTTGCCAGTTCCTTTGGCATTAGGGCAGGGATATCTAGATACTTTCTAAAGTTTGACATAATGAATTGTACTACTTTTAAAACAAGCAACGATGTTTTCAAATCTGTAATCAAAAAGGTCCGCAAAAACGCTATCAAGCAGTTCCTGCCGTTGCTATAGTTCAAATGGTAACAACGGACTATTTTTCTTAGCGGATGCATGTAATTTTAAATCAATAATAGCCTACTATTTTTTAAATCAATAAAAACATTTTCTAAATCTATAAAAGCATGTGCAGCGACTTGGTCATTATGGGGAAAAGAACACCCGCCTCGCTGCACATTATCCCTTACTTATTCGTTATGTATGCACCATGACATCAAGTCAAATTCCTCGTATGTGTAAACTTACCTGGTAATAAACCTGTTTCTGATTACCCAGAATTCCATTGTGTAATTGTCTAATAAAAATATATCGATATATATCTTGCAGAGTCGATATACCGCCCAGCACTCGGATGAACACTTCCCTCGTTATGATATCCTCAGCAGGGACAGGATAATGAGGGGGGGGGGGGGGTCAGTGCTGTGTCTCACTCACCGTCAGAGCAGCACATGTTGACGATGATCTCTAAAGACGTCTGCTGGGCCGTCAGCAGCGCCGTCGCCTCCCTCAGCTCCGCCTGCTGCCTCTGGAACAAGAGAGAAAGTCAGCATCAAAACACTCATCGTTAGCATCGTTAGCATCGCTAGCTCCCAGTCTGAAGGAAGAGATCTATCTCTCTACAGATTAACTCAAACACAGTCATGTCCTTTTTTTTTTATAACTGTGACGCAAGGGAAGGGAAACCTGCATCGGGGTGTCAGAGAAAGAGCAGAAATGTGTTCTATAACTGCGTATCAGTAATATCTTTTAAATAACTTCTCTTGTGAAAAAACACTCAGCATGTATAATAAAAGTATAACAGGGGATTTTCGTCGTCCCCATCATGTCAGCCCTGGTCTCAGGGCTCTGGCTGGGACAGCTCTGTCTCACAGAGGTCGAGTCTGGGGGACGTCAGAGAGCCTGGAGCCCCCAGCTGAACCCTAAAGTCTCCCCCCCCCCCAAAACCCTACAGTCTGTCTGCTCTGTCAGTGCAGATAACTTTTCAGGATGACTCATACGAAACCTTTTCACCTGCCGTAAACAAAAATAACTGCTTTGTCGCCACAAACACAGACGTCAGTTCACGTTCTTTATATTTACAGAAATTAAAACCGGGGTAAACTCCTTATAGAGCAATTGGTAAATCATTTTTGGACATTAAGTCATGTATGACACTTTTCGACTGCACTTTGGAAATAAAAGTAAGAAAATAAATGGATGTAGAAACTAGTCCTAAACGTTGAAGGTACGGAAAAGGTAGCAAAAGTATAAATTGCATAAAGATTAATAAAATCATGAATGAATCCAAAATACCCTTCCTCTGGCACTGAATGAGCCAATCACAGGCCTCCTGTGTTGTGTAACGGCTGCATCACATCCCATGCACACCTCGTCTTGTTTACTTCCCATCATGCACTTAACCATTATACATACAACACAATTAAGAGGGGAACTTATACAAGATATTAAACATAAAATAAGATAAAGATTCATTAACCTGTTAAGCCCCGAGCCTGTTTTTCAGGCCTCAGGCTCGAAAATGACATTCCCAGAACAAATGACTATAACTTCACTTCTAAAAGGGGAAAATGAATAATCTTTTTTCTCAAAGCAATGATAAACCTGTGAGTTGGATGTAGATTCTTTTATTTTAAAGTAAATTCAGATTGAACATAGTACAAAAATGTAAATTATAGTGTCCGTCCAAAAATAAACCATTACTTATAGTGAAAACCACCCTTGAATGATGGGATAGTAGACTAAAAGCTTTAGGAATCCAAACTATAACATATAATAAGTACCCTGTATCAAGATTGATGCAAAACAAGTGACATTTGACCTTTTTAGAGAGGTTTAGCAACAAAAAAAACACTTCTGGGGTCATTTGGGGTAATTTGCCGTTTCTCTGGAACCCATTGGTCGATTTTGATGATTGACACCTCTTTTGAACCGTTAGAGCCAATAGAATCGAAGGGGAAGTTCCACATACACACACGTTACCATTGAGAAGTGAAAGCTATGTGCACGCAGTCGAAAGCAATGTTATGCTCTGAAAACTGAAACCTAGGCTCAAACTAGTAAATATGAAGATGGATTATCAGGAATCATTTCAAAGTGACACAGACACATTGGATTAAACAATGAGGTGTGTTATTTTGCTTTTGGTGTAGTTTTACTTTTTTCTCATCTACTCTGCACAGAATAATATATTTGATGGAGTTTAGATTTTGTCTTTATCTGTCAGTGCAGATAACTTTTCAGGATGACGCATAAGACACCTTTTCACCGGGCGTAAACTGGACCCTTAAAAATAACTGCTTTGTCGCCACAAACACAGACGTCAGTTCCCGCCACATCGTATATTTCCAGAAATAAAAAAACTGCTTATCAAGAACCTTAGTCATTTGTTTTTGTCAAATATGTCAATTTAAAAAACAACAACACTTAAAATGGTTAAAGGTCCCATGTCATGGCCATTTCTACTGATCATAATTCCATTGTTGAGGTCTACTAAAATAGATTTATATTGTGCAATTTTCCAAACTCACATTGGTTTCTCATACAGCATCTCTGTATAGTATGTGTGTTCACTCTCTGTCCTAAACGGCTTGTTGGAGCTCCTGCCCCCCCCCCTCCCTGTGAGCCCAGTGGCCGTCTGCGAGACAGCGAGACACAGCGAAACCCAGCCCGAAAACACACACACACCCGCAGCCTGGCTGGGAGTTTGTGTGTGTGTTCAGGATGGTTTCGCTGTGTCTCGCCGACCCCACACCAGTGAGCCAGCTCACACTGTCCCGCTCCTCGCAGCAGCGAGCCTCGCAACGTCCCGCCAAGTGTGTGTGTGTGAGGAAGTCCGCAGATTGGTCCAAACGTAACGGCTCCGCAGACGTAACTATACCCGAAATACGTCACTGTACCCATGAAGTAAACAATGGAAAAAGAGAAATCTCCAACGAGGCGTTCTGGGGCAGCATAGACAGGTCTTTTCTGTGTTAGAGTTTTATTCGCTACAGGGTGTACTTTGAGGGTTTGTGACTTTGCAGACCGTTTACATGCAGAAAAACCTTCATAACAAGGGGACGGGTAATAACCGGAAAAGCATGACATGGGACCTTTAACCTATTTAAAGTGAATGTACTTGCAGGATTCTTTATTTTTCTTAATTTGTATTTACTTTAAAGATAACATTTATTGTCAGCTTAATCAAATGTTATGCAAAGTTGTTACAAATTGAACTGGTGTCCTTGAACTTGAAATCTGGACTCCATGATCTTTCCTGAAACAATACATTATGTTTGATCCGGGGGTTAAACTCCTTATTTAACTTTAGGATTGTCTTGCATATTCTGGTATTTTATTTGTCTTTCGTGGATGTTCTTGTTTATTTCCTTATAATAAAAATGTATGCATGAAGAGGAATAGGATATAAACAAATAGCATCACATAGAGAACTATATGGAATACCGGTTCAAAGCCGTATTCAATGTTTAGTTCAGATTAGCTCCACGTCAGAAATGATCATGCTTGTCATATGTCTATCTCCATAGAGGCTGAATCATCATGTTAATCACATAGCTATCATATGCCTAAAACAGTCCTGATGCTCTTCTAGGTAATCATACATCCTGTCATGTACACAGCTACAGTTGGGATACCTTTGTTGTCATGTGTACTCTGATATTAGAAGAGTACATTCAGTGTTTTCCCAACAATAGAGAACAATGTTAGAGTCACTACTTACAGGTAAAAGGTCGGAGAAGTCGTTGTAAAAGTAAGAAAATAAATGGATGTAGAAACTAGTCCTAAACGTTGAAGGTACGGAAAAGGTAGCAAAAGTATAAATTGCAAAAAGATTAATAAAATCATGAATGAATCCAAAATACCCTTCCTCTGGCACTGAATGAGCCAATCACAGGCCTCCTGTGTTGTGTAACGGCTGCATCACATCCCATGCACACCTCGTCTTGTTTACTTCCCATCGTGCACTCTAACCATTATACATGCAACACAATTAAGAGGGGAACTTATACAAGATATTAAACATAAAATAAGATAAAGATTCATTAACCAGTTGAGCCCTGAGCCTGTTTTTCAGGCCTCAGGCTCGAAAATGACATTCCCAGAACTAATGACTATAACTTCACTTCTAAAAGGGGAAAATGAATAATCTTTTTTCTCAAAGCAATGATAAACCTGTGAGTTGGATGTAGATTCTTTTATTTTAAAGTAAATTCAGATTGAACATAGTACAAAAATGTAAATTATAGTGTCCGTCCAAAAACAAACCATTACTTATAGTGAAAACCACCCTTGAATGATGGGATAGTAGACTAAAAGCTTTAGGAATCCAAACTATAACATATAATAAGTACCCTGTATCAAGATTGATGCAAAACAAGTGACATTTGACCTTTTTAGAGAGGTTTAGCAACAAAAAAAACACTTCTGGGGTCATTTGCCGTTTCTCTGGAACCCATTGGTCGATTTTGATGATTGACACCTCTTTTGAACCGTTAGAGCCAATAGAATCGAAGGGGAAGTTCCACATACACACACGTTACCATTGAGAAGTGAAAGCTATGTGCACGCAGTCGAAAGCAATGTTATGCTCTGAAAACTGAAACCTAGGCTCAAACTAGTAAATATGAAGATGGATTATCAGGAATCATTTCAAAGTGACACAGACACATTGGATTAAACAATGAGGTGTGTTATTTTGCTTTTGGTGTAGTTTGACTTTTTTCTCATCTACTCTGCACAGAATAATATATTTGATGGAGTTTAGATTTTGTCTTCATCTGTCAGTGCAGATAACTTTTCAGGATGACGCATACGACACCTTTTCACCGGGCGTAAACTGGACCCTTAAAAATAACTGCTTTGTCGCCACAAACACAGACGTCAGTTCCCGCCACATCGTATATTTCCAGAAATAAAAAAACTGCTTATCAAGAACCTTAGTCATTTGTTTTTGTCAAATATGTCAATTTAAAAAACAACAACACTTAAAATGGTTAAAGGTCCCATGTCATGGCCATTTCTACTGATCATAATTCCATTGTTGAGGTCTACTAGAATAGATTTATATTGTGCAATTTTCCAAACTCACATTGGTTTCTCATACAGCATCTCTGTATAGTACGTGTATTCACTCTCTGTCCTAAACGGCTTGTTGGAGCTCCTGCCCCCCCCCACCCTGTGAGCCCAGTGGCCGTCTGCGAGACAGCGAGACACAGCGAAACCCAGCCCGAAACACACACACACCCGCAGCCTGGCTGGGAGTTTGTGTGTGTGTTCAGGATGGTTTCGCTGTGTCTCGCCGACCCCACACCAGTGAGCCAGCTCACACTGTCCCGCTCCTCGCAGCAGCGAGCCTCGCAACGTCCCGCCAAGTGTGTGTGTGTGAGGAAGTCCGCAGATTGGTCCAAACGTAACGGCTCCGCAGACGTAACTATACCCGAAATACGTCACTGTACCCATGAAGTAAACAATGGAAAAAGAGAAATCCCCAACGAGGCGTTCTGGGGCAGCATAGACAGGTCTTTTCTGTGTTAGAGTTTTATTCGCTACAGGGTGTACTTTGAGGGTTTGTGACTTTGCAGACCGTTTACATGCAGAAAAACCTTCATAACAAGGGGACGGGTAATAACCGGAAAAGCATGACATGGGACCTTTAACCTATTTAAAGTGAATGTACTTGCAGGATTCTTTATTTTTCTTAATTTGTATTTACTTTAAAGATAACATTTATTGTCAGCTTAATCAAATGTTATGCAAAGTTGTTACAAATTGAACTGGTGTCCTTGAACTTGAAATCTGGACTCCATGATCTTTCCTGAAACAATACATTACGTTTGATCCGGGGGTTAAACTCCTTATTTAACTTTAGGATTGTCTTGCATATTCTGGTATTTTATTTGTCTTTCGTGGATGTTCTTGTTTATTTCCTTATAATAAAAATGTATGCATGAAGAGGAATAGCATATAAACAAATAGCATCACATAGAGAACTATATGGAATACCGGTTCAAAGCCGTATTCAATGTTTAGTTCAGATTAGCTCCACGTCAGAAATGATCATGCTTGTCATATGTCTCTCTCCATAGAGGCTGAATCATCATGTTAATCACATAGCTATCATATGCCTAAAACAGTCCTGATGCTCTTCTAGGTAATCATACATCCTGTCATGTACACAGCTACAGTTGGGATACCTTTGTTGTCATGTGGACTCTGATATTAGAAGAGTACATTCAGTGTTTTCCCAACAATAGAGAACAATGTTAGAGTCACTACTTACAGGTAAAAGGTCGGAGAAGTCGTTGTCTGCAGCTATCCCGTTCTTCGTGTGTTTAGGCTCCTCCTCCTCCTCGATCATCTCCTCCTCCTCTCCTCCGGCAGCCTGCTGCTCGCTCTCGGGTGCAGCATCGGTGTTCCTCTGATGGAGCTCCTCTGCTTCTCTCAGCTCAGGGATCAGCGTTCCTGCGTCCAGATCGAGGCTCTGAGAGAGAGTGGAGACCACGGCGTTCAGAGCCTGAGCCTGACGGGCCGACGGTAGACTGCTCTTCAGGTTCCATAGAGTGCCTGAGACACAGCAGGGGAGAGAGAGGAGGCATTACAGGGTTATCAGGAAATATAGAAATCCACAAAAGGATAAATATCAGGAAAATGTACTTCAAGTATTAGGTAGAACTACTCGTGGCAGAACAAAACTCTAAAATATATTACAAATGAAAAAGCAGCAAATCTTCCCATTCAAGAAGCTGGAAATGTGAAATGTTAATTTTTTTACTTTCACTTAACTTTGCTAGACTATTACTTTACTAAATACTTAGAAAAATATACCCACTCATTGTTTAACATACAACAATATAATGTTGAATAGTTTAATCTACATCAAAGGATCATATTTTAGAAAGTTGTACTAAGTGTTGTGTTTAAAAATCGGAATTTAAAATCCAATCCAATTTTATTTACATAGCACTTTAAAACCTCCAGACCAAAGTGCTGCACAGAGAGATACATAACATATAAAATCACACAGCTCAGCTCACAAAACATAAAAATAAGTATAAAATCACATAAAAGATACGAACACAAAACAAACCAGAATAAACGTAACAATTACAAAATAAAAATAAAAACAAGCATATAGTAAAAACAATAGACCACAGAAAGCAAATAAAAGCAACAATCTACTTGTTTACGAATGCTAAGGAGAAAAGGTGGGTTTTAAGACGGGATTTAAAGTAACAACTAACTACATTTGTATCAGAAAAAACAAGGAAGTTAAGTTAAAAGAACAATATTTCCCTTCAAACATTATCAGGGTATTAGTCTGAAGTGGCACTGAAAGACAATACTCAAATGAAGCACAAATACCTCAAATGTGTGCTTGAGTACAGTACTCGAGTAAATGTACTTTCCAACACTGATTTAATTTACTAAGGTGTCATGTGGACTATTGATACTATTCATTTCTTCACTAATACTCAGAGATGTGGTACCTGCAGCCAGGGTCCTGAGCAGTGTGTGAGCCATGTCTCTCTCAGGCGTCAGCAGCACGCTCTCCACGACTCTCAGCACGGCGCTGTTGATGCTCCGCAGCAGCTCGGGGTTATCCTCCGTCACCGTGTGCAGACAGTGGGCTGGACACATAGAGAAAGAGGACAGAGTTACCAAGTGTTTTAGTACACTACAGAAACACATTCAGTTTGAGGTCAGACTCGCCATGGACCTTGCCTACTAACAATGGGACTAATTTCTTCCGAAGGTTATTCTAAAATGTGTTTTATGGCATGTATCTAAACTGCAGAATTGCCAGACATGTGTTCTTACAATGATAAATCCCATTGTCTTTGTACATTGAAATTGTGTGTAAGCTGATCATGATTACTAAGTAAATGCCCTGACAATACAAATACAATGGTAATGCATTTAGTTAAGAGTTTAAGTTAAGACATTTTTATTTAAGGACGCCTCAAAAAGGTGTGCAGCACTGACTCCAATCATTTGAAAACCTTCAGATAGTAAAAACCAAACGAGCATCAGTAATAGATATAAAACCACTAAAGATAAAAAGAGGTGTGGGCTGCTATTTCACATTTGAAGTATATAACAGTTTTTACCTTAGAACAGATCCCAAATAAGAACAGATTGGAGAACGTCAGAGTCTAATTTAACGGTAAATGAGAGTTGTTGGTGAATGAGGCTCAATGGTATTAATATGTATTTGCGTGTCGAAGCCCAGTGTCTGCACAGTAATGGCTATTATAATACATTTGTAATGTTTTGATGTCAATGACCGTTCACACGTCTCCAGTCATTGCTGCCTCACATCACAGTGCTGGGAGAGGAAGCTGCTTTCACACTCTGTCATTACAACAACATGTTTTACCACATTTTGCATAACGTCTATAAATAATATCATGTGCAATGTGTGGCAGAGAGAAAGGAATTTGTACTGAGGACTTTTGTATTTGTTTTTGCATGAGTCTCTGTATGTCTTTAAAGCATGTTGAGCCAGGCCCTGCTTACATACATGTTTACTACCCATTAGTCTGCACTGCTGCGTTTCTTTGCCGCATTGTGGCCTGCTGTCTATCACAGGAAAGAGAAGGTGTGTTGCATCACCCACATGTATGCGTCCTCTAGTCCGTGCACAAGACACAAGGGGGCCAACACATAAAAACAAGTGCTAAATAGCACCATTAGAGGTCAAAATCTCCACAGGGAACCTTTAAATTGATCTAAATGTCAGTACAGCTTGGAGGTATGTGCACTTTATGAACCTGTACAGTGACTAGGGATGGGTACCGAGCCCCGGTATTAAACGGGCCCCGGAGCTGAAAAGACCGTGGTACCGTTAAGCTCCGACGTTATCGGTCTTTTTATCGGTACTGGAGACATTTAAAAATGTCATGTGTATTATTGCTACACAAACATTATTGTGTTTTAGTGTCGCCAACTCCGTTTCTAAGATGCAAAAAGACAAACAAATGCGTCTATGATGTATTTTCGATCTTTCCAATCCAGACGAGAGATCTCTCTCCCCCGTCTGTGTGCGAGGGGGCGGGGCAGTTTACACACACGCAGCTACTACATGCAGCAACACACACGGAGATGGCGGAGAGAACTAAGCGCTCCGAGGCGTGGTTAAACTTTACCCGTCTCGATGTGGACAATGCTCGTTGCCAAAAGTGCAATAAGAGTTTAGCATGTAAGGGCGGTAACACGAGCAATTTGTCTAAACATTTAGCAAAAGTGCACCACATTCAGACGGAGAAATGCACCGGGTTCGACTGTCTTTCTAGTAGCTCTGTAGCCACATCCACGAGTAACTTTTCCACGTCAGGTGTTTTGTATGCTAGCAGCAACACACGGAGTTAACTAAATTATACAAACATGGGTTAATGATTAGAGGTAACTGAGTTATTTATTTTGTTAAAGTGTCAGCTATTCTGTTTACAATTCTGTCATCACATTATTTAATACCATCAAAAGAAACAACAGTGTTTTACACTGTTGTTTCTTTTGATGTGAAATATTATGTATTTAATTTATTTTGTTTAGTTAATTTACCTTTTTTTCTTCTTCAAAATAACCGATAAGAGTACCGTTAAAGGACCGGATCGATAAGCGGTATCGATAAGAGTAGTAGTACCGTTAAAACCTTAACGATACCCATCCCTAACAGTGACTTTATGTCCTTTTGTGATATTTGGATAAAAGTTGAGGTTCCTCATGACTAACACATCTTGCCCAAGTAGGATGTCAATCAATCAAATGTTATTAAAATAGCCTAATATCAGTATTTACAAATGTCTCAGTTGGATTTGCAGAATGAACCACATCCTAAGACCCATGGAGCACACAAGGAAGAAAAGACCCTAAAAAGACCCAATCAATGGGGGAGAAAATGGATAAAACCTTAAAAAGAGCAACTGAGGAGGGATCCCTCTCCAAGGACGGATAGACATGCAAAAGATGTTGTGTGTACAGAATAAACAACATCATAAAATGACAACAAAGCCATCCATATGACAAAACAATTATGGAACAAATCAGAACTAGATGGATCCAGGGGGAGGTCAAAAAGCTTCCAAGTGCGGCCAAAACAATAACTTCGGCGCACACCTTTATAAATCAATTATGACTACAAATGAACGGTACATTAATGAGACATACCCGCAGATATGGCCAGCTCCATGTTGTGTTGGTGTGTCTCCAGACACTGCACCACCATGTCCAGGAGACCCGCTTTGTTGAAGACAGACAGAGACTGGCTGCTGCTCTCACTAGAAAAAACAACACGAGGAAAAATAGACATAAGATGGGTAAGAAATGAGAAATGAGACATAATGTATTATATTTGTTTGAATAATGATAGATAATGGCAGTAAATGTGTGTCAAAAAGCTGGATTGTGACTATAAGATGAACTAAAAATGCAATGTTCTGGCCTGGGGTAGAAAAAAAAGTATAGTGCAGCTCCCGGGGGAGATTCTGCATGCAGCTATAGTTGTAGCCCGTCAAAAAGAAAAAGGCCATTGTGCATGCTCGGTAAAACCTCCCTTGATAAACAAAAGGTTAAAAACACAACCCCTTGTCTTACCACAGATTCCACAAAAGGTTGACGGCCTCGTTGGCCACGTCCTCCGCTGCATTCTTCTTCTCTTTCAGCACAGCAGCGCTCTCAAATCCTGCACAGCTCTGAAAAGAAAACAAAGTCTGTGCTGCAGATCACAACCAAACCACGGGTCAAACAGCTTCATCGATCATCCTCACATGTACAAAGTGTTAACGCTTCATGATGAAAATATAGGTCATTATAATAGTGTAGGGATCTCATATTTAAGTCTTGTGCTCTGATGTACGGAGAGGACAAAAGTGTTGCCTTACAATCATATGGTAATATTGTTTTTAATTTAACAGAGCTTCAATATTGTCACTAACGTTGATACTGATCATTAATACCACAATTTATCCCTTTAGATGTGTGTTTACTTTGCTACTGTTGTTGTTTTTAATTACAGAAAACACAACAATTATTTAATTTCTTCATATTAAATGCTTTGGGGATTTTTGGTGGGCCATTGTCAAGGATTGGCAACTACAATGATTAAATGTATCATTGATATTTGAATATTATATGTGACCTGCTCTATCGAAATCAGTTGCATCGACCAGAAGACACATTTTGAGTTGTATCCACTGTTGGAAAGAGGAGATTCCTAGCTTTCTAATGATATCAGGATTGTTTTTGTACTCCAAATATTAAGCAAATTATGTCACATTATATAATGACTGTCACCGAGTCATCATTTTGAGAAAAAGGCCTTCAAAGTTTCTTCTTCTCTGGAATCCATCGATCTGATTGATTATTAGCGGCTAATAAATGATCAAAGTAGTACGGAGGGAAGATATTTTCGTTTGGATTACTGGTCTGGGGGAAGCTCGGGGGTGTGTGTGTGTGTGTGTGTGTGTGTGTGTGTGTGTGTGTGTTTGTGTAATTTTGCGTTTGTGTGTATTGTGTTTGTTTCCCGGGGAAAACAGTCACGAGAAATGCCTGCTGTGACGTTAAGTTACTCCGTTCTCCGCTTGTAATTATTCCGTCACAAGCTTCAAAGTTGTATTTATCATCTGAATTTGCCGAAACAAGTTTAATATTCTGAAAGACAAGACTTTGTTTAATTGAAATCAGATGAAAACAAACTGTAACAGACCCTGCCGTGTTATCTATGATTACTATACGTCACATATACAACCTTAATTGAGTAAATCATTGTTTGTACCAACATCAGTTCTGATCATAACCAACAAATATGAATTGTTCTCATCATTTAACAGTTAAAATTAAAAAAACTGAAATATTTAATTATTTTCTGTATATTAAATGCTATGGGGAATTTCAGTCTGGGGTATGTCAATGGTAAGCAACAGCAAAGATGTTGATGCACTGCATTTAAAATACAGAGCTGCAACGCCCCTAGTGGAAACCAAAAAGAATTGCATGTCATTTTCTCCATATCGCAAACATGAAAGAAATGGCACTATATGTTTGACAATCTGGTAAAAAATTCAATACAAATTGAAGCAAGGGCTTTCATTTTAAAGTCTGATATTAAATAGCAATGTTTTTGTACTGCAATGGTAGCATACACATTGATTCACAATAGTATAGACTTATTATAGGAGCTGAGGTTGAAAAATGTAAAAGCATCCCTGTCAAAATGTAAACTACACGCTTTAAGACAGACCTATCAGACACTATCAGATTATTCTATCATTTTGTTCTATCTTTTTATCTCATTCCTGCAACTTATTTGCATAATTGTGTCTATTGCACTGTTTAATTGCACTTTTAAAAAAAAAGTAAATTGTATGTTGCATTGCTGGGAGAAGATTTTCATAGACAGAACGAGCCTGTAGCTATTGTGCAAAGGACAAATAAAGCCGTTGAAGATTTTGAGTCCAACGCTGGTCAATAAGTGCGAGTGTGGGTGCAGAAATTCTCACTTAGAAACTAAAAAAATAAACCCCATGTGCTGAGTATATGGCGGCAACAGCTGCTGAGGAGGAGGAGGAGGAGGAGAAGAGCTGAAGCAGCGTCTCACCTCTCGGAGCAGCGCTGTCAGAGGAGTCATGACGTCGTGCTTCACCATGTCCTCACACACCTCCTGACCGCCGCATGCACTCAGATTCCTGTCAGGGAGAGACACACACACTCAGAGAGACACACACACTCGTGGTTCAGGGGGAGAGTTGGCTGTTTGTGTTCAGGCGTGTGTGTTGGTGTAAGAGAGAGAGGGAGAGGGAGAGCTGGGGGCGGTACGATGAGCGAGCGTCTGATTTAAATATCCAGGGAAATCGTTCTGACTTGAGGTCAACTGGAGGACAGGAGACAGGACGCTCTCTGATACAAAAACAAGAGATGTCTGTGAATCAGGATCTGAAATCCTTTTATCCGTCCCACAGAGGGGGGATTTTACATTGTTAGAGCAGTAACGGTATAGATAGAGACAAAAAGTAACCACTATTAAATATCTTCAAACACAGAAACGCTTCTGCTGTCGCTGCTGGTTATTTGCTGTCTGTCTGTTGTGTCCGAGCCTCAGGTTGTTGTTGTTGTTGTTGTTGGCCCTGTTCCCTAACATCCTCCCCAACTCAGAGTTCCCGTTAGAATATTTTTTTGCCGGTCAACATGTCCGTTAAAGTTGAAATCTTCCGGACAAAAGTAGAAAAGTGCCGGTCAAAGGTCTTCTTTGTTATTTATTGAGCTTTTAAACAAATTGATATGATTCGATATTAAACAAACTAATTCTAGTAGATTAACTACATTATTCAAAAGTGTACAGTAACTTATAACACGGGAATAATAAACGGAGCGCTCTCTCTCCCTCTCCTGACAGCCCGTCAGTATCATGCAGCTCGCGGATCCAGTAATGAGTGACCCGACAGTAAAACTAAACATATCTATAACTAGTTTAGGTAGTTTGAGAGGTAATTAAAATAGCTACGTGTGATGTTCTAACCTGAAGTGTGTGTTTTGTTCCGCTCACCGCTGCAGGGGATCATGCAGAGCTGCGTGTCGACTCGTCAGCAGCAGCTGATCTCTCTCTCCCGTCAGATTAGACTTTACTCGCATTTATGTCCATATCGATCAGATCTAGCTAGTTCTAGCTAATGATATGACTACCTGCTTATTAAAAGACACCTAAACAATAAGCGTCGCTATGCACCCGGGTGAGGCCACAAAGTATAGCGCAGCATTATGCATTTGTTTACATGCCCACCGGAACCCCGAGGCATTACCAACAGATCAACGCACAATCAACCCATACAGGACACTCTTTCTCCACATTAAATGTTAGACATTAGAATTGACTATTTTTGTCTGTCACATACTCTTCTTGTCTGTCACATAAGTGGCGCAACTGATGCGGTATTGCGCTAAGGGAAAATTATTTTGACCGGACATTTTGACCGGAGAGATTTAGATTTGCTGGTCTTCAGCATATTTTACCGGTCATAGTCCGGTAATTACCGGCTAACGGGAACTCTGCCCCAACTATGTGCAATATATATATATATATGCCTTTAAAAACTGTGCAATATAAACCTGGCTGCTAAATCCTCAGAACTGTTACAGGATGTGTTTTTTTGTAAAATGTGTAACTTTTTTTATTATAATTTCTTTTTTTATATTTAATACTTTTGTATGCATGCTTCTTACTGTAGGTAACATTAAGCTGTCTTTGGCTCTTTTTCTGCTGTAACAATGTAAATGTCCCCTCTGAGGGACTAATAAAGGTATTCTGATTCTGATTCTGATGTTGTCTTTCTTTTCATTAAATTGTTAATAAGCTCAATAGTAATAAAAAAACATTTTTTTTAAATTGACTGGAACCACTCCCTTTTGTCTGGGACACAAAATCTTCCTGCAAACGCTTCTGCTGTCGCTGCTAGTTATTTGCTTTCTGTCTGTTGTGTCCGAGCCTCAGGTTGTTGTTGTGGTTGTTCCTAACATCCTCCCCTCCTCACCTGAGTGCCCCGGCGGCCGTCTCCCTCACAGCCATGCTGCGGTCCAGCAGCATGGGGCCGAGGCGCCGCACGGCGTCCCGCTGCAGGAAGCCCGGGATGCTCTGGCTCTGCTGCACCACCCGGGAGATGCTGGCACACGCAAACTCCCTCACATCTGCATTGGAACTCTGCAGCTGGGGACACATGTTTCAAAAGATTAACATACGTTTATTTAGACGAAAAAATGTTAAGTTCTCAGCAAAAATGTGTAACAACTTTACAACAAAAGCCTAAATGTGAGTCTTAAGAGGGAAATCACACGAGTGTAATCTATCAGAAAATGAAAGCTTGCTTTTGGAAAAAATATATTTTAATATCATATCATTTGTTTTGTTTTCAGAAAATCTTGGTTATACACTTTTTTTTTTACATTTGCAAAATTGTAGTTCTGATGCTTTTTTTCTTTTTAAACTCTAGTGTCTATTTTGGTAGATGGAAACAGCACACACATGTTTTAACAGTATCAACCTTAAAATATAAACCAAAGCTGATGTAATACATGTTTACTAAAAGTATTTGAGTTAAGCCCATGAAGGATTCCCTCCCTGTTTTACTGAAAGGTCTGCATGCATGACAAGTGACAACCATGCAAGGATGTAACATAACTAAACAGCTGAACAAACAGTTATTTCAAGAGGTGGGAAGTAACTAAGTACATTTACTCAAGTACTGTACTTGTACTTACCTTTTTATATAATAGTGTTCTATTATCTTCGTCCCATGTATACTTTACTGTAACAACGTGTATTTCCCCTTCGTAGGACGAGAACATGAATTCTGATTGTAAACATTTAAAATATAAACCAAACCTTATATAATATACCTTTACTACAAGCATTTGAGTTAAACCCATGAAGGACTCCCTCCCTGTTTGATGTGTTACTGAAGTGTCTGCATGCATGTCCACAATGCAATGATTAAACATTAAGAAACTGATAAGCAGAGAGTAATTGTAGTGTTATATGAATGGTCATACTTTCTCCAGGAGCTCCGCAGCTGGACAGTCGTCCTCCCCGGGATCCTCTGCCTCTTCCCCCGCCTCCTGCACCGCGTTCACCGGCAGCCCGACCGCGTTGAACTGCGGACGTTTAAACTTCGTGGTTTTACTTTTACCCATTTCAGTCCTTGTGAGAGCACGACCTGCGTATATAATGTTGTTTCAGTCCCACTTGTTGGTAATTTAGAGACACAATATCAAACACAAACTACAGTTACAGCCTGGTGGAGGCCATGTGGAAGATGTGCCGTGAAGTGGTTGTTGCTAACAGAAAGCTGAGAAGATGTCGCAAAAACAAAAACCAACCCTACGCAACATTGCAAACGTAAATCCATAGCAACAGGTGATTCTATAATAATAATAATAATGAAAATCTTAATAATTATAACAATAATAATAATAATGATAATAAATTATAATGATATAACGCAGTTCATAAAAGTAAGATGAATAATAATAGTACAAATGTTTTTTTAAATATTTAAATTAAATACATTTAACGTAATTATATTGTTCATAATGTATTTATTAGGATAAAACCAAAATAAATGGTTTTATTTATTTTGGTTTTAATAAAATATTAAAACCAAAATAAAAAAAATCCCTATATCTTATGTCATTCTATTATTCAGAATGTATTTATAAGAATTAAAACCAATTCAAATAAAGGTAAACATTAAAATCAGTATATTTTAAGTTATGCTATTATTTACATTTAATAATTAGGATTAAACCTCAATAAAAATAAATACAAATGTTAAAAAACATGTTGTCATTGTTTTGTTTAAATGTATTTATTAGTATAAAACTCGAACAATTAATTCACAAGGGGGTCCCATCATATATCTCATTCAATACATAACCAATTATACAGTGGTGTCAAACTCAAATACACAGTGGGCCAAAATTAAAACATTGGTACTAGTCGAGGGCCGGACTGGTTCAATGTTTATTGCAAAACGTATTGAAATTAACTTATTGCACATATTAAACCTGGAACTAACAAAGCTTAAATCATTGCCTTTAAAAACAACATTAAACATTAAATAATCAGTTGCATTCATTTCTTATGGCTCTATCTGCAGCTTTTCCAGAGTCATTTCTTATGATTACATTTTTCCACAGGCCAACAACAGCTTCAAAAAAACAATTCCCCTCAAAGCAAAAAACAAACATGCCCTGTTGTCGCAAGAAAAAAAGTGCAGAAGGAAACATCCATTGAAACTCAGTGTGCTGCTCTGTGATGCTAGTTCAGATACTTGGCATCTCATCTTGGGTGCAAGTTCATCAATGTTTGGGGTCAGGCTCTGAGCTGAGGAGACCCTCAGGATTGAGTGAAGGTGCAATATACCGGCGGGCCAGATCTAATAGTAATTCGAAATTATCCTGCGGGCCGAAATTAAATCCGGGCCTTGAGTTTGACACATGTGAATTAGACCAATTAAATTAAAAGATATTACCATTGTTGCTGCGATTGTTAGTCTGTGCCTCTATTGTAGGAATGCACTTAATATGTTATGTATTTAACAGCAGATACTGCATATATCAAATATACATTTCTTCTGGGACAGTAAAGTCTGATCTTATCTTATCCATATTTGCAGCATGCACCTTTACATCCATAAAAACTGCAGCAGCATCAAAACATTTCTTGGTTTTGAAAACCCAAATAAATCACATACGCAGGGTTTTCATGCAATATGACAACAAAAAGGGAGAGACAGTTTCACACCTGAAATATTTATTTGGTAAATAACTTTAAAAATAGAAACAATTAATTAAAATACATGCTCAACATTAGAAACAGAAATTAACACATCTGAGCGTTCATCTGCAGTCAGCACAGCGACAGTGTTTAAAAGGCAAAATCAGGTAATTTCTTCTTTCCTCCAAACGCATGATGAAGAGCCTCAGAAAGGACTAAAGACACGGAGTGATCAGCGGATAGAAACAGAGACATCGGACGCCACACTCCAGCTCAAGGTTACTGGATGTTCGGTCGTGGCTTGAGTATAAGTTTCCCCGTCTGTAAGAAGAAGAAATAGCTGTTAAAACTCGCAAACATATATGTTGTCAGAGCACACTACGAAAGTAAATTACAAACAACGAACAAAGAAGGAGCTGGGTAATATTCCCGGAAAAACTCGCAGAATCTCCAAGATAAAAGTATTTGTCTGCAATTTAAACGGTACAGCTACAAAAGAAACAACTGGACAAGGAAACAACTTGAACATTTTCTGAGACTCAATTGGAAAAATAACTTGGGGAAAATAGTGGGTTTATTTGTCAAGGAACCACATCTTACAATATTAGTTTTTTCTTGTGAATTTGATACTTTAATCTCAAAGAAATTCTGGGATTTATGATTTTGTAATCTCATAATTATCCAAGTTTTGTCTCTTAAATATATGATTTAAATATTGTATTTTATGAAGTAAAAAACGTGGACCTATCATTTTAGGCAATAGCATAGGTCTCAGATATATACAAATATATAAAAAACATGTCTATGAAGTGTTTTGTTCAAAATACCAAACAGATCACTCATTCTAGCCATGCCTCATATCCCTCTATTTCACTTCCTGTTTCAAAAGTGCTGATTTGGGGTATAAAGCTTTAAAAATAATCGCTAACAAATAAAAAAGGAGGGGTCTGAGCTCATGCGGGACCCGGCAGCTACTGTCTAAACTAAATACTGCCGTGATGAAACGCCATATCATGGATTATCAAGGATTATTTCTGAAACAGTATGGAGCTCAAAGGCTTTCTCTCTTGCCGGTTATACCACAAGGTGAGTTCCTTTTTATTTCCTGCTTCTTCACACACATGCTCTCCAGTACAGGTTAGCTCTGAGTGTTAGCGATGCTAATGTAAACACCGACCATATTACATCCAAAACAGTCAGGCATTGTTTCTGATAGCGCCGTTTCTGATAGGGCCGTGGGTGTGAAGCCAGCCTACATTTCCGATATTACGTCATATCGGACGCAAATCTGGATCAGCTCCGTTGGACCCCCGTTTTTAGAGATTTGGGTACGGAGGAAAAGAGAGAGGGTTTTGTTTTCTGACGCTGCGTGAGTTCCCCGACACACCGGGGACACATATTTATGTATAAAAGACATCAAAAAGTGCATTTTGCATGATAGGTCCCCTTTAAGTCAGAATGATTTTTCTGGATATTAAAATCAGACAGTCGCTCATAGTGCCGCTCCCTCTCTCTTATACTAACACACCCTTTTATAATAACTATAATGACCAAAAATATAAGACAACAAGTCAAAACATAGAAGAGATTTGTTAACTCACGTCGTCACAGGACATGTTGTACTCTGCTAAAACCGTCCGACAGCGAGCAGCAATACTGACAGGGCAAAAGGTTAAAGATCTGAACGTGTGAGACAGAAACTTGAACATGGATGATTCAGTTCATTAACCAACACTTTTCTGGCAATATCCTGGGATTGGATGAGCTGGAAGTTTAATTCTGATAAAAAGAACATGCTACTTTATTGTAACTGCAACAGACAAAAGGATACATTGATGGTGCCACCACTCGTTTGTGTATGCCAGCGAAGAAGAGAGCTATAAGAGTTATACAGCTGATGGTGAAGAAGGGATGATTCCACAGTGACGAAAAAAAAGAGACCTGCAACACAAGAGCAACAAAGAAACATAAATGATTAAGTCAGTAAAACATCTTTCACTTTTATAGATCTGATCTATAGGGAAAATAGAAAAGCTTAGTTTACTAATACTTTTAAAAAAATGTATCGGGTCCCACGAAAAAAGTATATAAAAGGAAATAAATCTTTATTTTAACTGTGGGTACTGTAATGGCGCATTTCCACTGCAGCGCGTAGCACGGTTTAAGCGTTTTACCCACTAGGGGTAGTTCCGGCTAACGGGTACTTTTTCACAGTTTTTCTGGCCCTCCAAAATCGTGGTTCTTTCCGGGCCAACAACCGGGCTGAATATGCTAAACTAGTGAGAGAATCGCTGGCAAGGGGGCTACAACTACAACAAAATCAACATATTTGACCGTGATTGAATTGTAATACACATTTCAAAATGATGCCGAAGTAACAACATACTGATACCAGTTAGTAAAAACCATGAATTAATGCTTTGACAAGTCTGCAGACAGATGGCAGGAGAAAACACTTTTAAAATGCGTGTTTTCTAAATGGAGATCGGCTAAGCTAACGCAGTATATGCTCCGACCGTCCACACTCACAACAACGGCCTATCCAGACATAAATAAAGCAGCGACTGTATTCACCATGACACAGACAGTCTGTGGTTTGTACTTGTTTAACTTCTGTCTAGTTTCTGAACAGATATGAGGAGCTGTGAGCTCTGAGTGCTAACAGCTAATGTTGGTTTTGTGTTTCGCATTGAAGATGACGTCACAGCTCCGGCTACACTGCATTACTATAGTTACTGCCCCAGTCCTAAACTGTAATGGAAACGCAGCATAAAGTGAGCCTGGCCTACCAAGGCCTAACTATACCGTACTAAGCCGTGCGAGGCCCTGCAGTGGAAATGCGCCATTAGTGAGTCTAAGCATTTTCAACCTGAATCCTATCATCCAATGTGGGAAGTTATAGCATAAAACATTCCCCTGCATTCTGTTTATTGAGCTTTTCCGCATAGTAACTCTACTGAGAGCTTACTTGAAGTACAGTATGTCCTCATGTTTCATCAGACTGCGTTTAAAAGCAGGAAGAGGCATCTCCAAATTCATTGGAGCAACATACTGTACGAATGAAGCAAGCTGATTCTCGATGATGAAGAGCAAAATGTGATTTAAACACAACATTTGACCAAATACATGATGGCGCTAAACCTCAAACTCTTTGATACTTTCAGTAGACATTGACTCTACTTTCTCTGTAGTCTGACATTTAGATTAGATTAACCTTATTTATTTGTTGCTGATATGTAATCCACAGCTGCAGAAACAATAGTCAACTGATGATTACATGTTTAGTCTCAATTCTTTACTTCCTATAAGAAATACAAAAAGCTATAATGCTGTAAGCTGAATAGTTCAATAATAAAAGCACAAATGTATATTTACGATGGGTCTTCACTTTAAGCCATAAATATCTATATACACTTTTATTTTGTCCACTGATACATACCTTCTGTGTGTCCGGGTCTATTAACCAGTTCCACGCCCCAGTAGCCGTACACACCGACACTACTATCAAAATCACTGAAACAAGACAAGAGAACGTTTTTAAATAAATTAGAAAATACTTGGTTTTTGTCAAGTATTTAGTTCACACAGGCTTATGCAAAAATAGGCTTAAAACGTGGTTATTTCATGTAGACTATTTATTTATGAGGTACCAGACAACATACTATATTGTGATATAAATAATGATTGACGTAAGCAATTAGCGTTTTTAAGATTTTTGCCAAATCACCCAGCCTTATCCACATCAAGTTGTATGTTTGTTTACTTGTCATTGGTGCCTTCACATTCATTGTAATCGAAAACAAGGTTTTGGCAAAGAACATATAGGGGTAAGGTTTACTAAATAATAGATGTTGATGAATAAAAGGTATGAGGTGAGTTACTTACTTCTCCACCTGCCTGTTGCAGGTTGCAAACAGGAGACATACTCTGTCAATCTCCTCTCAAAGGCCTTCAGGTCTGAAACGAAAGTGGAAACAATGAATGAAAAACATAGTATTTGGAAATAAAATCATGGCTGTATGGCACACAAAAACAGCTTATTTCAGTCATGTGACATTACTGAATGTCAGCCTCAACTTTAAAGCTCAATTTGTGTCACTTTCAGTGGTGTAAAGTAAATATGTACACTTACTCAAGTACTGTACGTAACATTTTCTACATTGTACTTCGAACTCACTACAATTCAGAGGTTAACCATGTACTTGTATTCCAATACATTTATTTAATACCTTTAGATACTTGTGAAACATAAACAACACGTAAATAAGACTTTAGTTACACCTGGAGTAAGTTCACAAGACACCCTTTTACTTTTACTAAAGTACAAGATCTGAGTACTTCCCACTTCTGCATGTCCAGTCCACGCTAAACTTGAGCTAATACAGGAGCATAACGTGACAAAATAAGACTGTCAAAGATCCAAAACGTTATGTACTGTTGTTACACTTCCTGTTGGTGAAACCTAGCTGTCCATAAAGCTACATCTCGCTTAATATAAGCTAACAGTCTGAATAACAGAACATGTGTTAGCTAACGTTAACACCAATACAAACAGCTGCTATAGGTTGAGCTAGCAAACATGCTAGGTGTCGTAAGAAGACTAGCTAGCTAACTCAACGTTACATCTAACTTTGTATACCGTTCTTAAGACGTTTGCTTTGTTTTTTTTCGCTATGAGGTTAAACCTAATCGGCAGCAATTTAAAAATGTGATTTAGTTTTTGTCTTGGTTACCTTCGGCCTGTTCCAAGGAGTTCATATCTGAGCCTTTAGTCCCAGCAGCCTGCTGTTGGCTGCACCGCTGCTTCCCCCTCAGCTGAACGACAGGCCGCGTAAGCCAATCAGCGTTTGCTGTGCGTGCTCAGCTCTAATGTGATTGGTGTAAATCAAATAAAGGGTGGGACAAGAAGCGGAAGTCCCGCCTCCTGCCCTCTGGTCCAATAGACCTTCAATAGGCAACAAATATACTTGTTTATTCATTATACGCTAAAAAATTACAAATCAAATTGAACAGAAAATAAAATATATACAATTATTACAAGTATATGTATACAGCACATTTCAAATACAAGGCAATACAAAATGAAACAAGCTTTAATAGAATAATACCACAAGTACAAGAATAAAAGATAGAATGCAGTATCAAAAATCAATAGTTATTTAATTATAAAAAGCAGCTGCAAAAAGCTCCATCATCAGAATAACATCTCAGTCTTTCCTGATGTAATGTGTTAGCCATTTACTTCAACAATAAAGCATAAATGGGTACAGAGTCCACAAACACAGGACTTTTGGAAAGTATAGAGGGATTTTTTTCATGATAGGATTAATTTAAGTTCATTTAATGATAGATATTGCTTCATGGAGTTTAGAGATAAAAATGTTGAGCGGTTTTCTAAAAAAGGTGTCAGGTTTGCCTACAAGAATACGTCATCACATGTCATTTGTTAGACACTTTTATCCAAAGCGACTTACATACATTCAGTACTGTGGACAATCCCCACAGGAACAATTTGGGGTGAAGTGTCTTTCCCAGGGACACAACGACATGCTGACTGCAGTGGGACTCTAACTTGCTACCCCCTGATTCAAAGTCCAGCACACTATCCACTGAGCCACAGCCTCCCTATTCATCACTATACCTCTCTATTCAAAGTGCTTTGCAGAAAACATTTAGGTATAAACATATAGTGTAACAGGTATGATTTAGTACATTGATTTACCCACACTAAAAGCTGAGCTATCCACATTTTAGGAGAGTTTGGGAACAGAATATGTGTATTTTAGAGCAGTGGTTCTCAACTGGTGGGTCGCGACCGAAAAGTGGGTCGCGGACCCGTTTCGAGTGGGTCGCAGATGTGTGTTTTTGGAAAAAAGTCAAACTTTTATTTTGAAGGCCCGATTTTCTAACGCTGTGCATGCAGTAGGCGTTGGACTGGAAGTAACGGAGACCATAAACGGTTTTGAAAACTTCTGTCACGTAGTGATCATCTTCTCAATAAAACATCTTTGCTGATGTTTTTTCGAGTCTTCTGGCCAATCAGAATCAAGATTGTCGCCGGAAGTCCCCGGAGAATAACTTTGCGGTAGAACTATTCAAACTAGACAATCCCCCCATTCTGCGGTTGGGTTTTCAGCATGTGTGCCTTTCTATGTTATACAGTTCAGCTTTGATTCCATTATCTCATTAAACATTTTTTAAAAGCATACTTTAGTTCTGTAAAGGGATATAAGGGATATATGCACTGTACTTCAGTTTAATTAATATTGTATGCTGAAAAGCGTATATATTACAGCACGATTTTTTGTTGATTAGATTTGAGTGTTTCAAAATTTCAGGTCGCAATTTATTGAGAAAGGAAAAAGTGGGTCCCGAGGCCTGACCAGTTGAGAACCACTGTTTTAGAGTGTGTAGCAGGTTTTGTTGCTTACAATCTGCAGTTTCTTCTGCAGCTTTATATTGAACTTCTCCAGAAGAACTTGCTCTTTCTCCTCATCTTCTATGTTTATCAGGTCGAAGACATCGACACCTTCCTCTGGTTTGAAGGTGACCTCGCTGTAGGTCCAGCCCACAAGCGCTCTGAATCCTGTCGCTGTTTGCAGAGACACGATGGATTTATTCATGAACAGCGATTTAGGATCCGTCTGAAGTGTGTTGTTTGCTTCGTAGAAATGCTCAACCTCTCGAGGCTCCAAGGTAAAGCAGTATATCGCCCTCGTCTCCTGCCTCTTCACAAGACTAGAATCAGCAAAGTCTGGATTGAGAACCTTCGTCTTTCTGCTCGTCTTCTCCAGAACCCACTTGTCTCCCTTGTCTAAGAAGCGAAAGACGCCCGCCGCCTGATGCTGATCCTTTCCAGAGACGAGCTCCATGGGCTCCGAAATCTGGAAAGAAACCCCAAAGGCCACATCTGCTATATAAGCCTTTCCATCAACGACGACTTTGTGGATGAGATGACTATCGGTGGGGGTAAAATTCATTTGTGCTACTGTTGAAAACTCTGGAGGACAACCTGGTAGTGTCGTAACCCATTTCTCTCAGCACCCATCCAAACAGGGAGTTGTTCTCGAGGCACCAGCCCCCCCGGCCGCTCCTCACTATCTTGTTGAACGTGAACTCCAGGTCCAGGATGTGCCGCTCTCCACAGTGCATGCTGAGGTTTTCAAAAGGAACGGACATGACGTGCTGTTTGTGGATCAGCTTCAGTGTTTCGAGATCCGGTTTATCAAAAGAGCCTTGAAGACCAATTCTTTTGAAGTATTCCTCCAAATTCATCGTGCCTGTAAGACACAGGATGGTTAATAATTACATATGGCCAACTTAATGCAATTCTACAGCTAAAATGAAAAGCATGTATGATGACCCTGGTAGAATGGTCTCTTTTACTCCCTTTATTGAACATGTGAGGGTCTATGTATGTATGCTTTCTGTGTTTGACAATGTCACAAATAAATCATATATAAAAGCATGTATGTAGTTATGTTTTCTTAAATAATGTCATAAACAGATACAATCATAGATAGATTTAAAATTGGGGAAATGTTTTGTTTCGTTTGCATTGTAAAAACACATTTCTGACAAGTAACCCCTCCTAGTGTCAAATATCTGAAATGTGATATGTCACATTGGGCTTTAATGGTAAAATAACTCTTATTTATAACTTAATTAATGAGGATGATTTTTTGGTTTAAATTAGTTTGAACATTCTTTGAATTGAAGAATAAAGAATATATTAACTAAATATAATTGAATCAGCTAAATTAACTGAGCAGATCATATTTCTAATTGTGCATATATGTCACTCCGGGTTTACTGTGAACGTTTAGGGTTAAAGTCCCGATGTTGCATCAGTGTCACAGCGATGTTTGTCTCATTTGTTTCATATCAATTTGATCAAGACATGTTTCCACAACAGTTTAAATGTAATAAAGGACATGTTATGTAAGCATTTTAATTCTTAAATGGCTTGAATTTTACCTTTAGCAACAACAAACAGGCTTTCGAAATGTAGCTAGTTCGGTCACATGTGTTAGTCTGGCACATGGACATGTTGTTATGGGAACACAACATCACATGACCTGGACCATGACCCGGACCATGACCCACCAGACTGTTCAGTGTGTCACTTAAGGACTTCATGAGATAAAATAACGGCTAAAGTTGTATAAGGAACTTTCCAGAACATTTAAAGTTCATGTGACACCCGTGTCACGTTGGGTCCTTAATGATCATATATTACAAATGTGAAGTGTATAAGAGTCTGACATTCTGCAGCAGGAAATATGCAGGAAATGTTTACCTTACCTTGGTATGTGTTGAATGTTCAAACGATCAAAATGGTGTCTTTTGAGGAAGCACTGTAACTTGCAGGAGCAACTTAAGACAGTTCGTTAAAGTTATAAAGTTTGTGAGGGATTCTGAACTGGATGTCCTAAACAAAACGGTTCAACATACCGAGGATAGCTTTGTGTTTTCTGGCTCAACTAACCCTATCAAACGGTATAGGCGGTCCTGAGACGCTGTTATCAGGTCAGCCGTCAGCCCAGAGAACTCCTCTCAGTCTGGGTGAGGGGCGGGGTTTGCAGCATTTGACCAATCACCAACCGAGCGTCATGTTTCAGAAATTAAGAGTGAACAACTAGTTAAACATTATACATCCATGAGATAAACACACGCAATACAGGCTGAGAGCCACAAAGTTTGAAAGAACAAAATAAATCTTCGACTGTGTGAATGCATTATAAACAGATTTCAATTACAGTTATCTTTCAATCTAGCTTTTTATTCATAATGTTTTTAAATATTGTTTAAGTTCTTTGGTAAAATGTAAAAAGAAATGTTTGGAGTCAGGCCATCTCTTTTTATGAATATGAAATGTCCCTAAAAATAAAATTAGCTGTACAAAAATAATGAAATCTGTGTCACAAAAACAAGTTCAGGCAAGCCTTCAATAGGCAACACATATACATGTTTATTCATTATACGCTAAAAAACTACAAACCAAATTGAATAGAAAATCAAATGTATACAATTATTACAAGTGTATGGATACAGCACATTTCAAATAAAAGGCAATTCAAAGTGCTTTACATAAAACATTACAAAGCATTGCGTTTCAGTCATTTAAAAGTCAAGTGAAAACAAACTGAAACAAGCTTTAATAGAATAATAACACAAGTACAAGAATAAAAGTTAGAATGCAGTATAAAAAAATCAATAGTTATTTGATTATAAAAAGCAGCTGCAAAAAGAGAAGTGCAGGGATCTTATCAAACACACTTACTCTATCATCAGAATAACATCTCAGTCTTTCCTGAAACCTGATGTAATGTGTTAGCCATTTACTTCAACAATAAAGCATGAATGGGTACAGAGTCCACATAAACGCAGGACTTTTGGAAAGTATAGAGGGATTTTTTTCATGATAGGATTCATTTAATGATAGATATTGCTTCATGGAGTTTAGAGATAAAAATGTTGAGCGGTTTTCTTAAAAAGGTGTCAGGTTTGCCTACAAGAATACGTCATCACATGTAATTTGTTAGACACTTTTATCCAAAGCGACTTACATACATTCAGTAGCCTACTGTGGACAATCCCCACAGGAACAATTTGGGGTGAAGTGTCTTTCCCAGGGACACAACGACATGCTGACTGCAGTGGGACTCTAACTTGCTACCCCCTGATTCAAAGTCCAGCACACTCTCCGCTGAGCCACAGCCTCCCTATTCATCACTATACCTCTCTATTCAAAGTGCTTTGCAGAAAACATTTAGGTATAAACATATAGTGTAACAGGTATGATTTAGTACATTGATTTACCCACACTAAAAGCTGAGCTATCCACATTTTAGGAGAGTTTGGGAACAGAATATGTGTATTTTAGAGCAGTGGTTCTCAACTGGTGGGTCGCGACCGAAAAGTGGGTCGCGGACCCGTTTCGAGTGGGTCGCAGATGTGTGTTTTTGGAAAAAAGTCAAACTTTTATTTTGAAGGCCCGATTTTATAACGCTGTGCATGCAGTAGGCGTTGGACTGGAAGTAACGGAGACCATAAACGGTTTTGAAAACTTCTGTCACGTAGTGATCATCTTCTCAATAAAACATCTTTGCTGATGTTTTTTCGAGTCTTCTGGCCAATCAGAATCAAGATTGTCGCCGGAAGTCCCCGGAGACAACCCTGTCTCCTAAAAATTACGTTCCCACAGAACTAAACTGCATTCTCAATTACGTTTAGCTAGAAACGTATTTTCTCCCACTTTACGTTGGTTATGAACTTATCTCAAATACGTTTATTTTCTACATATCTTCTAGAAACATATTTTCTCCCACATTACTTTTGTTATGAACTTATCTCAAATAAGTTTATTTTCTACATATCTTCTAGAAACATATTTTCTCCCACGTTACGTTTGTTATTAACTTATCTCAAATACGTTTATTTTCTACATATCTTCTAGAAACATATTTTCTCCCACGTTACGTTTGTTATGAACTTATCTCAAATACGTTTATTTTCTACATATCTTTGCCATTTATTGTCTTGCTTATAATAATTATAATAGTCATTTATAAATATCATTTTAGAGCACACATTTGAAATCGACGATCGGGCTTGATATCCTATGGTTAAATTAAAATCAGTAGACGAGGCTGTAATTTCGCCAGCTGCGAGGCAGAGTTTTAACATGCCAAAAAGCTGCTGTGTCGTTTATTGCACCTCAAACACCTCAAACTTCCTCTAAGGACAGCAGAAGAGCTCTGTGGCTTCAGGCTTGATCGCCGTTCAAATGACAGCGTTGGTTTCCCCAAAAGTGGGTGGGGCTGTGACGTAGATTTTACTCTCATCTATTATTCAAAACCATTCTATTTATTCTAACGTAAATTACATGCCAGTGTTTTATCTTTTTATTAAGCCATTTGTTTCTGTTGTTTAACTCATAGATATATATAAACATATGTTTTTATATATATCTATGGTTTAACTGGGGGTGTTTCTCAATCGCGAGTAAAGCTGCTGCAGAGCCACTATTTCAAGCATACTACGTCATCGAGTGCCGCCGAAGTACTGTTCCAATCTCCAGCATACTTGGAAATCTACCGAGCCCGGCGTACTCCGTTTGGAGAAATATCGAGGCTGCACATGAGTAGACTCTGCGGTCTTAAAATCCCCACAATGCTTTGCGCACGGACCAATTTCCCCAAATCTGTGGCGGAAGATGTAAGGCGGGGCCTCTCATATAACGCACACCTGCACACTTGCTAGCCTGTTCCACTCTTTGTTTTCCGAATGCTAGGTAGTATTCTTGCCTCGCTTCTGAAGCAAGATGCTCGGCAGACATGTGCTACCAAGCAAGCGTACTCGCGATTGAGAAACACCCTGGGAATGTTTTCACATTGAACCGGAAGTACGTCACTTCACTTTGTCTTCTTCGTCCCTTTTACGTTCCAGACAATGCATGGCTCAGCGTAACAGACTGAACAGCGACCCCAGGTGTGTCTACATTGGAATTACATCTTCATTACTGAAGGAAAAATACTTTACCTAGTGTTTGTTAACTGGGTTTTTAATGCAGTTGGCTTTTCTTAATGGTTACAATATTGCTATGAGTTACAGTATATATCTGAAGCAAATTATGTTTCTGAAGATGTGTAGTCAATTCCACCCTTCAATGTAGCATAAATGTGAACTCTCATTACAGGAACAATACCGGAAACAGACGTAGGAAAGATCCTCAGCTCGCTGATTGGATGTTTTAGCCGCAATGCACGTTGGGATATGGTGTTTATGCGATGTGAAATCCGAAAACATAAAAAAAAAAAATAATAATACTTTATTCCGAGTGTTCTTGCTTTTCTCTTTGAAAGTCATCACATAACAGCATTGTAATACACGGTTCGGCTGCATTAAATATTACACATCTGCCATAGTTCTTTATTTATAGAGCCCTGATGAGAAGACTTCTGGACAAACAGGAAGAACTGCCGCCGAAACTGAATACGTGACGTGGATCATAAATATATCAACAATTAAACAACATCTTACATTTCTTTTCACAAAATACGTCTCCTTGCAGTATCAATACTAATACGGCTGACTTTTATATTTGGTCCAATTGGTAGATAGGTTATATTTACACCATAACGGTGCACAGCTGATAGAAAAGGACTTGTAGTTTTTAAAGATATTACTGATTTTCTTTGAATATAAGAATGTAAATACTGAGTTGAGAGAAGAGTCAGGGGATTTGGGTGATGGGAGACACATCTCTGGAATCACAATTTCAATAGCTTACCATTAAATGACGGATATACCTTTCTGTCTTTGATGTTTTACAAATCAGATATTAATGTGTAGAAGTAAACATGAGAAATAATATAGCAATATCCTGTACAATTATGTAAAAACATGAATAAAACTACACATCTTCAGATGTTATACATACATAAGTGTCCTACACTAATAATACAAAGTTATTATTAGTATACTGTGTGTACCTTGTGTGCACCGCCTAGTGGTTAAAGCACGTTATTTAATTATTTTTGTTGAATAATGTTATTTTTGTTGAATAATGTTATTTGATGAATCAAATATTAAGAGTACATACTTTCATAGGGGGAAAGTAGAAGGTCAATGATAGAAATATAGAATATAAAAAATCAAGAAGATACTGTAAGTCAGGGCTATTCAATTAGTTTGGAATGGGGGCCGGTTGATGAAAATGATCCAAAGCAAGGGGCCGGGAAAAAGATGGCTTGAAATATGAGCAATCATATTTAAGAGCTTCAGATACAGTAAATACTACAACAGCATAGTGGAGTGCATATATTGTGTTTAATTCAATCAAACAACATAGCCCCAAGGCCTTTATAGATCTAAATGGCAAGTTCAGAACTCAGTAGGCCTACATGTTTCATTTGATTTCATTTAGGTGAAATGATCTAATCATTCACGCAGAGATGCAATCAATGACAGGAGTTGTCACTACAGTATAGTAGGTGGGTTCGAAACCCGAGCCCGTCGAAGTTTTCAGGCATTGTCTACCCCTCTATCTCTCAATGTAACACCCTCTCTGGAATAAAGGCACTATGGCACAAAAAAAAAAAAAAAAAAATCTTAAAAAAAAAAATTGATTACTTTTTAACATTATACTCAAAGGGCCAGTAAATATCACCCCGGGGCCGGATTTGGCCCGCGGGCCGCCAATTGAATAGCCCTGCTGTAAGTGATCTCTACAATAAAACAGTTTAGTGCCTGATGTACAAAGATATTAATATGAGGATGTGCAAAACAGACAAACTAATTAACCTTTATTAACACATTAAAGAATACTTTAGGTTTTCTTTCAAATAAGAAAAAAGCTTTGGGGGTATCTATCTACAGATAAATATTAAGCCTGACAAAGTACTTAACGTCTAATATATTGCTTTCCTGCAATGTTAACTGTGTTGAAGCACTTATTTTAACTGATATTATATATATATTAATTATACTCTTATGTATGTAGATAGTATAAGACATGTGCAGAATTTGAGTTTAA